TGAGGCTCAAGACGTCCTCCTCATGCCTTGATAGAATCCTTACTAAGGTAGTAGACTCTCCGGTCTTCCTCGAAGTGATACGCCACAGTTTTGATGGTCGAAGCTGATGATCCATCAGGGCTTCCTCTACTTCCTCCATGGTGATGGTTTTGTGTACACCTTTTGTGTAGGAGCACTGTTCATGTTGTTGCGTCGAAAGAAAAGTGAGGAAATCGAGACGGATGGGTTGCCTAGACGGTTCGGCAGCGTCGCAAGCTTCTCTCCCAGCTTGGCGTTAGCAGAAGTGATAAAGGCTGTAGTGCCTCTAAGTCTAAGATCTTCAGTGCTCTTATTAAAATTCATGCCGAATTCAAATGTTCGTAGCAGCTTCGTCATAAAGGTCGGCGTGGAATTAGCGACGGGGATGTTATCAACGCGCCACTTGAAAACTCTAGTTGAGGAGGTCGGTGATGATGGCAAACGCGGTGATCTAGGAGCTGGAGAATCGCGTGACGGGGCAGGAGGAACGGGTGGCGGGGTAGGAGAACCGGGAGACGGATCTGAAGAAACGGGGGACGGAGTCGGTGAAATTGCAGTGCGATTACCTTGTCTATTTGTTAAGCGTGGGGATGAGTCTTTTGAGGTTATGTTTGGACTGCTCGGCGAGGCGGTTACTGCTGGAAGCGTACGCTTTGATACGGAGGACTTGGTGGACGTAGATGGTCCGGCTTTCTTAGGCGCAACTGCACTGCGGGATCCCTTCAAACGATCGGATCTCTTCACGTCGGATACTAAATTTCTATTTACGGGCATCTTGACTGTGTTCACTGGTCGGCCATTGATACTCGAGCACCTTCATAGCTTCTTCTCACACAAGAGCAGCGCACAACTTTATAGACATTATATGTTTTTAGGTGGATTTTAAACTTTTAATTATTGTAATTATTTTATAATTTATTTTGTTTGCTTCATATTATAATAACATAATAAGAAATAATACAAATGGTTAGTTGACGTTGTTTGTTGTATGTGACTATTATATTACAAAATATTGTATAATAACATATATAATAACATATAAATTTAATGTTGTTTTTTTTCAATTGTCTAACATAAAAATTCTACATAAATTGAAATTAATATAAAATTTCATACAAAAGTGAATATTATAGAATAATTTTATCTCTTAAAGATAATAATCTCGGTTAACATTTCAATCAATGTCAATCTTTTAGAAATTTCCATAATAAGAATTTCATCATTAACCAGAAGCTCTGGTCTTAATTTTTCATCTACACGAATTTGAACCAAAATGGATAAATATTTATTATGACTTTCAAATTTTTTTTGAAAATCATCTAAAATATAATTATAATATATAAATAATTCAATGTAACAAAAAATTAAAATATTTTTTTATAATAATAATGTAAAAAACATTGACAAAAATTCAATTTAGTAAATTTTATATTATTATAAAATTCAAATCCATGTTTAGAAAAATAATATATAGTAAGAATATTTAACAACAAATTGAACTGAGTGACTGCGGTTAATAGCCCTTTGTTTGTTATTATACAATAAGTTTTGTTTATTATTATATATGAATACACGTAGTTTAGGTTTCATGTACATTTTAAACATAATAAATTGTGTTTCAGTAGCAGCTGGCATATTGACAAAATGTATAACGGCAAATCTATATGCATAGTCTTTCTAAAATAAAATATTGATTATGCAATTAATGAATATAGAACAGTAGATTTATTCTTACATCGGAAAGTCCAATGAATTTTATAAAATCTGTAGGTTTAATCTTACTAATTACTGAAACGTTCACATTGGAAAAATCGCCAATATATTCATCTCTATTGTTGATGTCGTATGTTACAAGAAGTTTCAGGCTCATGAGTATTTTAATATGGCAAGTGTTCGTAAATCTTTTGTAAGTTGTGATATACCGACCACCTTACTAAAAAATAAGTTTAATAAATTAAGAAAATATATTTAAGAAAAGATATTACAAATATCTGTAGAATTTTAGAATTTTAGGAAGTAATGGACTGAGAAAATGCAACTCAGACATTAGATTGCGAATGGAATAATTCATTTCCAATCTCGATTTAGTTTACTCGATGGAACACTTATTCATTAACAAATATGAAAAGATTAGTCTATCACCTGAAATTGTATCGTATATTGTACTCCATCCGTTCCGAAATAAGTGTCGGATTTCAGTTTGTTTATGGATTATTGAAAAAATGAATTAAATTTAGCAGTATTTATTTGACATTTGTCAAAAAAGAAAATTAAATCCCGCGATAAAATATAAATGGCCTATTGATAGTAGAATCATTCCAATCAAAATACAACAAGATAATGCTAATCCACATTACAGTGTTGATGATGAGGAAGTTGTTCGCGCTGGTTCTGAAAATGGATGGAACATAAGAATGATTTGTCAATGATTTTTCAAATAAATAAAATGATCAACACAGTTTGATCATTTTGTAACTGTGTGCATATGCATGTACGTATAAAGGCTAATGACGTATCTGTCGATGCCTCCAAATAAAGAAAAAAACATCAATAACTACCTCTATACGAGATTAAAATGGTCGACAAGATTGAATTAAATGATTTTGATTCATAGCAGACAAAACTTTGAGTATAGCAACTTCTAAGGAAGTACACCCCTAGGGGTGTCGTGAAAAATATTTGGGGGGTCGCAGAAAAATTGATGACAGATTATTCCGGGATGTTGTAATTTATTGCTGTGTTGGTGGTGGAATTTCTACCGATCTTAAATCACTAATCTTCTCCATTCTTAACGATCTTCTTAAAATTTTACTTGAAATATCGTTAGACTTTAACAAACTCACAAATAACTTTTTAAAAAACAAATGAATTAACGCCTACTTAGCGAACTTTTGTTAGATCCCTCGTACAATTAATTAATAAAGTATAAAAATATGAAAGTGGCTTGATTAAGGATATTAAGTCACCAATTACTCGTTCCCCAATTCGAAAAAATTGCATAATCAAAAAATTCAAGAACTCAAATCAACAGACCATAATTTATAATGTGTTTAATTCAAGTGAACCAGACCATAACAAGACATAATTAGGGTAGATGTAAAATTATTATAATAATAATTTTATATAATCTATAAACCACAAATCATAAAATTAATAATAAAAAAAACATTTAATATAATTTTACAATTATTTTGCATTTCTTTATAGATTAATTATCCTAAATGAATATATGTATATTATAACTATAACATATTATTACCAACAACAACATTTGAATAATAATTCTGAAATTGAAAACATAAATTAATCAACATCGAGCTTTTTAAAATTTCCATAAAAACCAAGAATTTCATCATTAACAAGCGGCTGAGGTCTTAATTTTTCATCTACGCGCATTTGTAGCCATCTCGAGAAATATCCATCGTGGCTTTCAAAAAACTTTTGATAATCGTCTGGAAATGAAACAAATCAAGAGATTTATATGATATTAAATGTAAATATAATAACCTGTAGCTTCATTTATGCATTCACCACTTCCACCGTAATCTTTTGGTAACATATCCACGCTATAATATTTTTTTAATGTCTCAAAGCCTTTATGACAGATTAACTGGATAAAATAAAATATTTATTTGAAGTTATATGATATTTAAGTATGAAAAGTAGTTTCTTACTCTTTCACGGAGTTTTGGCTTCAAGCAAGCTTTAAATATATTTAACAAAGCTTCTCCAGCCGCTGGCAAATTAACAATATGTATAACAGAAAATCGATTTCCATATACTTTCTAAAATATTATATGTATTATACAATTATCGAATACAAAATATAAAAATTATTGTTTACGTCATAAATAGTAACTATTTTCCTCACGTCTGTTGGTTTAATTTTGGTAAACGACGAAAGACTTAAATTCGTGAAATCAGCAATATATTCATCTCCATTGCTGATGTCGTACATTGCAAGAAGTTCTATACTCATAATCATACGTGAAAGGATAAGAGTCATATCAAGACTTGCATCATCTCTGTATATAATGATACAAAGCCTTCGTAAATCATTCGTTAGTTTTGGGACACTCAAGAGTTTACTAAAAAAATAGTGAATAAAAAAATAATATTTTAAATCAATTAAGTATTACTAATATTTATGGGATTCTCTAATTTTAGGATGTAATGGACTGTGCGAATACAAATCAGCCATTACATTTCGAATGGAATAGTTCATTTCCAATCTGGATTTCGTTTTCTCGATGGAAAACTTATTCATCAACAAATAGGAAACGATTAGTCTGTCACCTGAAAAGTAAGTTATTTATTGATTATACATCTTAATTAGTATATTTTAATGATTACTGGGCATATCTGGAATATGCGGTTGAGTTTTAAACCATTCCTTCATTGATTCCAAATCGATCTCGAGGTCCTTCAAATTCTTCCCATGGATTGCTAATATTTTATGCACATCATCCTCGGTGTAATATAACTTCGAGTATTTGAATTCTAAATCAACTTGAAAATAAAATAAACATATTAAAAATGGAAACACATTAAATAAAATATAATTATACATAAAAAGGACAAAAGAAAATCGCAAATGTTTGTATTATGTTATTATATATTAATTATTATTATTAATATATAACCTATACTCTTCTCAATAGCATTCAAGTATCATATTTTTGGTATTTTACAAATATATGAGAATATCAAATATTATTTTAGAATGAAATCATAATAATAATAATAAAATCAGTATTATACTAAATACGTATAATACTAAAAAAATATTGATATAAAAATATCTGTTATAAAACCTCACCTGGCATCTTAAAATAGTATGCACGTATACGTATCGATAAATGTGTTATTGCAATCATTCAACAGCTTTTATAGACATTTTATATTGTGAATAAACAAGTTAAAAACTAATGGACCCAAAAAGAGAAACAAAATATAATTGTTTTGAGAACATCAATTAATAATACATATAAAATGAGTGTTATGCATACCAAAAACAGGTTACATATTTACATTATCTTTCATAATAGATCTTTTGGACGCCAACCTTTATTATACGAAACTCACCGACCAGTAGCTGTTTCGATATGTTGGTCTCCGTTACCAATGAACGGTTAAGCGGTTGTACCACCCAATATTACCGGTAAATTTTGATAAGAAATACTGGTAATTTCAGTAAAAATTTTACATTCGGAAATTGAAAGTGATGTTGCACTTGTAATTTTGCCTTGCCTTGTCATATATTAGAATACATTTATTTTTTTTTGTAACACTTATAACATCTGAAGTGTTGTTTCCTGGTGGTATAAAAACTGTATAACCCAACTAGAAATTGTAATAACAAAGTAAACTACATCTTTGTTTTCATTGCGCCTATCTGTATTTTAGAACATAAAAAGATGAATTTTCTTCTTTTGTATATTTTTTTAAGAGATTTAAATCAATTATTATTTATATAAATCACTTAAACTTATTAAATAATAATAAATTAGTTCTGACATCTAAATGCCTAAATTATTATTTAAAAAATAAAACAACATAAAAACCTAAAAAGTCAAAAAGTTTCCATCGTTTTTTAATATGCAAGCAATTTTACATTTAATTAAGTCATCAATTAAATATTTTTTATTTTATTTTTCTACTTTATGTTAATAAAATTTAAGTTAATCCAATCTAATTATTTATATAGAAAAATAACAGATATTATATGTATTAAATACAATTGTTATTAATGGAAGTTCTCTATTTAAAATTTATTTATAAGTTTTACTTTCCCATCCAATATAATTAATGTTTAAATGTAATATTATTGTAATATTTAATTATATAAATTTTAGATAATATATAATTCTATATTTATAATATATTAATCCACGTCAATTTTTTTGAAATTACCATAAAAACCAAGAATTTCATCATTAACTAGTGGTTGTGGTCTCAATTTCTCATTTACACGCATTTGCACCCATTTTGTTAAATATTTATCGTAACTTTCCAAAAATATTTGATATTCGACTAAAACGATTTTTGTATAAATAAACAAATCTGTACAATTAAATTCATATGTAATTAATTACGTGTGGCTTCATCTATGGATTTAGCGTTACCTCCATAATCTTTTGGAAACATATCCAACCCATAGTATTCTTTTAAAGAATCAAAGCCTTTATGAAAACGAATCTAAAAACAAACAAAAATAATTTCATACTTTATCAATAGAGTGTATATGGAAATACATATTCATCAAATGATTTATCTCTATTTTTAACATACATCCAAAATTACATTAATAAAATATTTCATATATTAAAGCAATAAAAAATATAAGAAGGAAAATGTTTTTAAAAAAATATTCCATTAGACCAACTAGATGAACTTTAAATATATATATATAAGATATTGCATAATATAACTAGTCAATTAATAGAAAAATGGTTTGTAGTTATAAAAATACATTACCTTTTCTCGAAGTTTCGGCTTCAAAGCGAGCTTAAAAATATTAAACAATGTTTCGCCTTCTGGTGGCAAATTGACAGTATGTAAAACAAGAATTCGATTTGCATACACTTTCTAAAACATAAAAAACAATAGCAATAATATTTTTCATTTAGTGTAAACTAAATGAAAAATACATAATATGAATTTACCTCAATAATCGTAGATAATTTTTTTAGATCGGTTGGTTTAATTTTACTAATCATTGACAGGTTTACATTCGTATAATCGCAAATATACTCATCACCACGACTGAAATCGCAAATTGCAAGTAGTTCCATATTCGTAATTATCCGTGTAACAATGAAGTGAGGATCGTAACAAGCATCATAATCGAATTTTATATAACAAAGCCTACGTAAATCTTTTGTTAGTTTTGGCATGGCGAATATCTTACTAAAAATTAAGGGAAATAATTTACTAAAATAACTATATAAAATCTGTCGCCCACCAAAAAGTATGGCTATCTCTGAATTTTGGTTGCAATGGACCGTTGGAGTATATATCAGGCATTACGTTGCGAATGGAATAGTTCATTTCCAATCTTGCTTTTGTTTTCTCAATAGAAAATTTGTTCATTAATAAAAATGAAGCAATAAGTCTATCACCTAAAAATCGAAGATATGATTGTTTGTCGCATAGATAACTTTGTGATTTTAATGATGATTACTAGGCATTTCTGGTATATGCGGTTGCGTTTTGAACCACTCCTTGATTGATTCCAAATCGATTTCCAAGTCCTTCAATTTCCTCCCGTAGTTGGCCAATACTTTATGCACATCATCCTCTGTGTAATGTAACTGGGGTGATACACATCCGATATCCACTTGAACACACAAAATCTTCAGATTAAAATAAAGTTAATATTATTATAATATTATAGATTATTAAATCGAATAATAATTTATAAAAAGGTAAAGTTTTATTTTTATACTCATATTAGATAACGTATATTTATGTAAAATCTATTCATTTTTGTACAGTAAATACTCACAAGGCATATTCTGTGTGATTCTTGCAAACTAAATGAATATGATCATAACGAAACTTGCACTTTATATAGTTTTCAATAACAGTTGATATAAAAAACTGATAATAGCGTTTCGAAAATACGTATAAAATATATTTTTAACCATAATTAAACGATATGTTTATGTATATAAAATTAAAATAAGTCAATAAAATTTTTAATAGACTTATAATTTATGTAGAAGAAATATTTGAACATTGAAAAATGATGTGATAGTTTAATTTTTATATGTACGAGAAAAGTATTCAAAAATTTTTGTCAAGTATTATGTTTTATATAAATATATATTTTTCTTGTTTTTAGATAATAAACAATTTTTAATTCTGAATAAAATAATTATTATAAATATAAATATTTCTTTTTAAACAAATACTTTGTAGGGAACCGAAATAAGCAATAATTATGTATAATACATATAGACTATAGACAGAAGCTCTATTAATTATGTTCTTACAAAAATAATAAATATGCTCAATAATCACAAGGAAATATGCATGAAAGAAAAAAAAACAGTAGTCATTATTATAAGAACATTAGATATTGGAATAAAGTACATGTAGGATACTCAAATTTGGGATGGTTATTTGAATTTCGATGGGATATAGAATTTAGAGATGGAAGAAATATTTAACGAAAAAAAAGAGGGGTACAGAAACAATGTTAGTTTTGTAATACACGAGATTCTTTCGATATCGATTAATTTCAGTACAGCAATGCCTTCATATACGATTCAAAATAATCCAATTTTAACATTTTAACCTATAGACAGAAGACTTTCTGCACACAATTTTTCATTTTCGAAGATGACAAATCAGGATATAATCAATTTGTGAAGATCATCTTCAGTAAATTTTCAATTAAACCTGAAAATTGATTTTCCATAATCATTTGGAAACTACTCATTTAAAATGTGCAAATAAATTATTATAATTTTATTTTTACATAATACAATATTCGAAATTATAGCCTTCCTTCATATTCCTTATAATATTGCAACAGTTCCAGAAGTCGTTCATAGTAAAATACTTAAATATGAAAGGAGGGCGACTAATAGCCGAGTGGTTAAGTCGCCCAACCAATGATTTCGTGGATGCTGGTCAATCCAGGCCCTTTGTAAACCCTCTCGGTGCTTGCAGCAATAGAGCCATTGTTCATCAAAGATGGACAGTCAAATGAACGAGGTTCAGCATATCGACCTGAGCCAAGTCGATAGACAATGACAGTGTTAAGGATAGCAGCAGTTTCACAGTAACAGGAAATAGTGGAATCGCAGAGCATCAATATACCTCTGAAGTTAACCTATAAGATGACAGCCAACCAACAAATTCAAAATCAAATGATCAAAATGGTAACTAACAGCCGGGTAAGATAATCTATTTAATGTTAACCTCGATCTTAAATTTACTCAATATTCACATGAACAGATTGTGAATACAATTATACGATACAAAAAAAATATATGAAGGGATTTCGTTTTCGTTATCTGATTTAGTAACAAGCAGCTATTTTAGTATGAGGGATCAATATGTAAGGTTATATTTACATATTGATGCCCGGGGTCTAAAAATCATAAGGACGGCACTAAATAAATGTAAACATTTTCTTTTAAAATACACGTAAAACCAGAAAGACATACAAGCACTATACGAAAGAAACATTGCTATTAGTGTGGGAAAAGTATAAGAATAAAGTACTTCCTAATTAATTTTTTTAAATAATTTTCTTAAAAAACTACAAAATATTTTGATATACAATTATTTATTTCTAATACATTGAAGCAATTATTATTAAAATCAATATTATTAAAAGCACAATATATATCAAACATATAAACGTTATTTGTAACGCATAAAAGACATAGATCATTTATTTCTTGGTTTCAATCCAACCCAAACTCCATTTTTGGCCAAAAAGTTGAAACCAGTTGTCACTAAAGGCAATGGAATATCAGTTTTGTTTATAACTACAATTTCGAACTTCTTCAAAAGGTGAACGTATACCACTTTGGTTTCCAACAAAGCAAATCTAGAGCCGATGCAGCTCCTAGGTCCAAGACCAAAAGGCATATATGAATAAGGTTTAATTTTAACTTTGTTTTCTTCACTGAAACGTTCTGGATCAAATTTATCTGGATTCTCAAAATGATTAGGATCCATATGAAGTCCATAAACTGGTAACATAACTGAATCTCCGACATTGAATTTAATCTCCGGCTCTCCGGGATTCACAGGGGTAACAGTATATGGTTTCACACATACTCTATCATTGGCAACAGTACCAGGCCACTTCCTCAATGTTTCTAAAACAAAAATATTTATTATACAATGACCAATTTGTTCTACTATTTACCTGAAATGATCATATCTAAATACTTCATTTTAGTAACAGAATCATAAGTCACTTTTCCATTTGTTTCCTTCATAGCATCATCAATCTCATTGCGAAGTCGTTCTTGAATATCAGGATGCAAAGCTAATTCGTAACCAAGGAAAATCATCAATGTAGATACAGAATCGAATCCAGCGAAGAAAAAGAATAGGGCATGTGCCGTGATATCTTTAATAGTAATTTCAGATTTTTGTCGTTTCGTAGATTTTCCAACTTCGGATTCTTCGACTGTTGCGAATCCAGTTTCCTTCTCAGTCAAAGATTCTTCATGCTTCAAACGACCTTCTCCAGCTTCCATCAGAAGGTGAATCATGTCAGGTCTGACGATATTTTTCTCTTTGCGCATTTGCACCGATTGCGAAATCGCTTTCTCGAAAAAACCAATAGTGTTTTTATTGAAAATGCTAAATCTTAATAACTAAAAACGATAAAGAAATAATTATATAATTCATATTATGAAAATATGTGAACCTACTTCACTCATTTTCGGACTCGCGATTGATAAAATAAATTTGAATGATTTCCATAATCCCTTAAAATCGGTTAATTCATCTCCCATCATGTAAAATTCGTTTTCTCTATCTTTCATTGAATTGCATTGAAATCCAAAAGCGCATGTTCCTATTATATCATTGGCGAATCTCGTAAAAATATCTTTCAACTCAACGTCGACTACATCTTTTTTCTGTTCTGCGAAAAACTTGACAAATTCTTCTGCGCATTCATCCATCAAAGTGAACATGGATCGCATTTTGCTACTCGTAAAAGCCGGACTCAAAGTCGCTCGAATATCCCTCCATTTCTCGCCTAAAACAATTTAGAAGATAAAACGCAATTCATTTTACATTTTCCATTTTTTACCTTTTAAAGAAAACAAATTTCTGGTCCAGAGAGGTTCAACTGATTCAGGGAAAAACGTGATGTGATCAGTGAAATGATCAAAGTCTTTAACAGTTATTTGTTTAATCAAATCCAAATCTCTCGCAATTAATGCTGGAAATCCGAACTGATACATTCCTATATATCTAATTAAAAATATTTAATTATTATTTTCTTAATAATAATAAATATAATTTATATGCAATTATATACATACAAAATGTTATTTATTTTATGTGTTACCTTTCATTAGGAAATGCATTGTACTGATCCCTGATTATTTGAGGATACGGTCGTTTTGTAAAGATCATTTGTAGTAAATCACCAATTAACCAAGTCTGTTGCTGGGCAACTCCTCTGCTCTTCCAAAAGCTATACGGTTTTACGCATAGGAAATAGAAAAGAATTAACAACAAAATACCGATGATAATCCAAAACATTTTTGCTGTATTAATCTAAAGAACAAACACTAATCTAATATAATAAATTTGTAGGTTAGATGCAATGTATACTGTTACATCTCCAATTTAGAACTGGCATATGTTAAATTTACATTGGACCTTGACGAAAACTCTGACTCAATTTTTAATTAATTTCAAGTGCGTGATATGAACTTCAATTATAAATATATAGATAAATATGACATCAAAGCGTGTTTTATTAAACTTATGTGGAAATATAAATATTTTTTAAAAATTAATTTAGAAATAAATATACAAATATAACTAATGTTCTTAAATTCCTTTACTTCGAAATTATTATATGCAACAATTACAAATAAATTATAGTAAATGTAATTATAATCTATTAATACATATTACAAATGATGAATTGATATGGTAATTTAAGCGCATTTTAATTGAATTGGTTTGACCTTGTTTGTTTCCTACGAACACAGATCATTTAAATATGTTTAAAAAATATATAGCAACGTCGAAGCAACACAGTGAAATAATTGAAAAACTAGTTTTTAATTTCCATAATAAATAATTACGATTCATCGATTATTTTTTGTCTCCATGATATTAACATTAATAATTGATCCATATCTGTTTATAAGAATCAAATATTAATCATATGAATAATAGTTTTGTTTTTGCATATTGTGTTATAAATTAAACAAAAAAACAGTATTATTAAATACGAACGTTATATATTTTTTTAAATAATCTCTCCCATTTCGCAGCAATTTTAAATAAACTATTCAAATTGCAAACCTAATGTGAGAGCACTTGTAAGAAAACCTTGATTATGTTCATGATTATCCTAACACATTGCGTGACTATAATTTAGAAAATTATACAAGATTTTTCGACCGTGACCATCAATAACATAATAATATAATTATCAAATAATAATATAACTATCAAAATTGAATTAAAACTGCAAAAATAAAACACTCTTTAAGGTACAACTAATACAATGTTATTTAAATATCAATAATCTAATATTATATATTTTCAACTGAAATACTAAGAACATTTTGTATGTTTATTTACTATATATCAATGTAAATAATAAGTTAATTTGTGGTAAATGAATAAACTAATAAATAATTATTTACTTAAGTCTATATACTAAGTCTAGTGATTTATAATGCTTAAGCCTATTGGTTGTTTTGTTATTATCAAGCTTGTAAATAGAACATTAGTATGTGATTTCAACATATCTTCGTGAGATAAACCACGATGCCCTGTTTTTATTCCTTATGCATTTTCATTGAAACCTTTAGATAATTTGTATGTACAATTTGCTGATTCCACTCCACAATTGAATAGCATGCTTCCATACTGATTTTAATATTACTAGTAGAGATTTGTAAACTTAATTTGCAATAGTTATTATAAATATTTATTTTTCTGTTTGTAGCTAGTCTCCAGACCATAGAAATAAATGTATCCTATGTTTTAACCATCTGCAATGAAATGAGATCCCAATATATCATAATTATTTTTAAAGTGTTCCTTTTTAATGGTGTATTTGGATACACATTTTTATTGCTTGTAGATAATTTACTTCGTAATTTACCAATTCACAATGGTTAATTTACGATTTTATAAGAACTGCTGTCCCGTCATGAACAGTACATTCGGATGCTTTGTGTTGTACATAAATTCGGAAATGTTGAAAAAGCTTTTATCCGTGAAATGTGTCTCTGAAATTAGCAAAATATCAATTTTATGATTTTTAAGTAACTTACTTACTGCATGATGACTTAGTTTGTATTCCATGCGGCTATTCGCAGTGAGTTGTTTAATATGGGATGGTCGTTGTTTACCGCAAATCCAGATCCTTTTATTGCGTTGTACATTTTTTTTATTAGATTCAACGACTGTTCCATCGACTGTTTTTGGAGAAATGGTTGTTGTCTTTTGTCGAGGCTGCCTTTCGGCAACTATTGTACAATAGTTACACGTCATTATGGGAAGGCTAAATTCCATAGTCCTATTGTTTTTGTCTATTTTTGTCGTTGTTGTTTTTTGTTATTTATATGTCTGATGAGACTTTTATTGCTGCTGTTACTGAGTATTTTGATCTTAGTTGTTGAGAATCTGATCTTGCAATAGTTTAATTTATTGTTATAGATACAGGTTATATTCGTTCTTTTATTTTTTTTTATATATAGTAAATCCTTTGTAGTCAGTCGGATGTTCGACATTGTATTGATTTTGTTTTCACACATTTAGCACGCGTATCAGTGTTGCAGCATATCTGTGATTATAGTGTTAGTATCGTATAGCTTTCTATTCAGTTTCTCTAAATGCGTTTCATGTACTACATATTTTATTACCGGTAACTCATTTCTTTCTTGAGTTGATAAGTTTAATATTGCATATTCGTGTCTTGGAGTTCCTACCCTGTTTTTTTTTAAGATTTTGATGTTGTGTGGTTGGACATTTTTTTTCCAATTATTTGGAGCTGCAATGTATAATACAGATAATAATTCTTGTAAATTTAATGAAACTCGGTGAGGTCCTTTCGCCAACTTTATTTACACTTACTTTGTGAGATTCCATTTCTATCATTTTCATTGCATCGTTCTCCATTCAGAACATACAACTTTGGTTGGCATCATCTTCATATTTATGTATTTTTATTACTAAAACAAGATTTATTTAATGGTTATTAATTTTGGAGTTATATTAACGGTTCTTTGTCACTTTTCACTTTGTGTGTTTTTATTTTAATGTTCACTTTCACAGAATTAGATGTGGTACCCACATGTGTTTATGATCACTTTTTAGGATGTTAGGGGAGCGATATGACCTTCCTGTTTGGCGGTTAGAGCCAGAATGAATTTTCATCAAAATCCAAAATAAATACAGATTATGTAATACAATATAATGTAAATGTGTTCCTTATATACAGATGATCGGTTAATGAACATAATCCGTGAAAAGATATAAATCAAAACATATAAATCTTTTACAAATCTTAAATGATTTGTTCGCAATCCGTATTATTTGTTAACGATCACCTACTGTATTTAAACATTTCGTAACATACTTTTTCATTTTTTTTTAATATTTATTATTTTTTTATTTATTTATAATTTTTCTTTACATCCATCAACAAATTATTAAGCATATCAACTATTATATGTTTTTGATGTACTATTTTTTTTATGTCGTGTAATTTTATTCAGGCTAGTAGTCGCCATGATGTACTAATTAAAATCAATTATTTATATAATAAAACTTCTGAAATTGTTAAAAATTAAATATCTTGGATAATTTAAAAAATATTTCTGATTTATCAGTTAAATTTAGCATGCAGATGAGCGAATACGACTTTTGCTTCCAGCAAAGAAAATCTTGACTAATGTATTTTCTTGGTCCAGCGCGATCGAGACATCTGTGGTTTAATTTTCAATTTTATTTTCATTGTTGAATTGTTTAACATCTAACTTTTCGAGATGATATTTGCGATTTCTATGATAAGAGCATGGAAGTAATGCTTCCAACATTTAGATTTAATGGATTTTCGTCAGATAAAACAGTCTCAATGTATCGAAATTATCAAAATAATTCACTTTATTGATGAATTTGCATATTACCTTTCTATCTTTTTTTTCACAAACGTCATCTATTTCCATTATATGTTTAATTTGATTCATTTTATAAATTAATAAATAATTAATAATAATTAATAATAATAAAAATCAAATAAAATTAGGAAACTCTTCGGTTGACAGTCTTTTTAGCAACATTTATACAATAAATATTATTATCAAATATTATAAATACATACAATTTTTGTCTTATTAATATAGATATAATTTTTTAAATATAATAAAATAATTTATTATTGTATTGGATTATATATTTCTCGGTTTTAATCCAACCCATACTCCATTTTTAGCCAGAAAACCAAAACCCGTCGTCTTTAAAGGTAATGGAATATCTGTTTTCTTAATAACCACAATTTCAAAATTCTTCAAAAGATGAACATAAAGCACTTTCGTCTCCAATAAAGCAAATCTAGAACCAATGCAGCTCCTAGGTCCAACGCCAAAGGGCATAAATGAATAAGGCTTTATTTTACATTTGTTTTCTTCATTAAAACGTTCCGGATCAAATTTATCTGGATTTTCAAAATTTTTAGGATCCATATGAATTCCATAAATTGGAAACAAAACTGAATCTCCTACATTGAATTTAACCTCCGGTTCACCAGGATTCAAAGGAGCAACAGTATATGATTTCACACATACTCTTTCATTGGCAACAGTACCAGGCCACTTCCTCAAAGTTTCTAAAATAAAATTCTTTATTATAAAATTAATGATCAATATAATATATGATTTACCAGAAATGATCATATCTAAATACTTCATTTTGGTAACAGAATCATAAGTCACTTTTCCGTTTGTTTCCTTCAAAGCGTCATCAATCTCATTGCGAAGACGATCTTGTATATCCGGATGCAAAGCCAATTCGTAAGCAATATAAATCATCAACGTAGATACAGAATCGAATCCAGCAAAGAAGAAAAATAGTGCATGTGCCGCTATATCTTTTACAGTAATTTCTGATTTATGAGGTTTTGTAGATTTTCCAACTTCGGATTCTTCGACTGTTGCGAAACCAGTTTCCTTATCAGTCAAAGATTCCTCATGCTTCAAACGACCTTTTCCAGCTTCCATGAGCAGATGAATCATGTCTGGTCTAACGATATTGTTCTTTTCGCGTATTTGCACCGATTGCGAAATTGCATTTTCGAAATAATCAATAGTATTTTTATTGAAAAAGCTAGCACCAAACAACTGAAATTCAATATATATTTCATATTATTTAATTCATATCTTTTAAATTTGTAAACTTACTCGACTCAATTTTGGACTTGTGAGTGACAAAAAAAAATTGAGCGTTTTCCAAAATCCAAAATCAGTTAGTTCATCTCCCATTCTGTAAAACTCATTTTCTCTATCTTTAATTGAATTGCATTGAATACCGAAAGCGCATGTTGCTATTATATCATTGGCGAATCTTGAAAAGATATCTTTCAGCTCAACAGAAACTACGTCTTTTTTCTGTTCGACGAAAAACTTGACAAATTTTTCTGCGCATTCATCCATCAAAGTGAACATGGACCGCATTTTACTGCTCGTAAAAGCTGGACTCAAAGTCGCTCGACTATCCCTCCATTTCTCGCCTAAAAATAATAAAGAACATGAATCTAAATTAATTTTACATATAACATTTGTTACCTTTTAAAGAAAATAAGTTTCGTGTCCAGAGAGGTTCGACTGATTCAGGGAAAAACGATATGTGATCAGTGAAATGATCAAAGTCTTTAATAGTAATTTGTTTAATCAAATCCAAATCTCTCACCATTAAAGCTGGATGTCCTAATTGATACATTCCAATATACCTGATTTAAATAATTTTTAATACTATAATAATAATATTTATTAGAACAGTCACATAAACAAATACAAAATTAAAACTTATTTATATAATAATATAAAATGAACAATTTCGTCCGGTTACTTTAATACTATTATTATTATTTTATTTACCTTTTTGTAGGAAATGCATTATATTGATCTCTGATTGTTTGAGGAAACGATTTTTTTGTAAAGATGATCTGCAGTATATCTCCAATTAACCAATCTTGTTGCTGAGAAACTCCTCTGTCCTTCCAAAAACTATAGGGTTTTACGCACAACAAGTCGAAACAAATTAATAATAAAATAGCGATTATAAACCAAAACATGTTTGTTCTTAAATCTTAATAAAATGCACAATTTTAGTAGAACATATTTCTATAAAATATAAACAGTATGCTATAAAGTCACATATTTAGAACTGGTATATGTACAGTTTACATTGGACCTTGAACTGCAACACAATTTTTAATTAATCTCAAGTGCGTGATACCAACTTTTTTATATTGTAAATATATTTACAAATTCGATAAATATTTTGCCCGATAGCCAACAAAAATTTAAATAAATAAGTTTTGTTATTAAATTTCAATGGATGAATGTATCTATTTCTAAATATTTATTATATTTTAATTTCATATGCCAAAAAAAAGATCGATAACATCTCAAATCATTGATTGGTACCTCAAGCGAATTGTCATTTAATTTGTTTGACCTTGATTATTTTCTGTAGCATAACATAAAGCATTATATGTTTTAATATGTTAATATGTTAATATGTTTTAATATCACAACTTTATCACTAAATATTCATAAATTATATTGGAATTTATTTACCCCACGCTTATCATCTTCACGTCACCCCGTCACATTGGGGTAATGCCGACGTAAATGAATATATTTTGGGGTAATAAGTAAAAAAATCCCCAACACTTGATTTAAAAGCCATGTCAATTTAGAAAATTCTATTGTTCAAAAGTGTATATTGTGCAAATTATAAAAGAGGAAAAATATTGTTCGAATAAGTTGAAATATTTATATAAATCAGAAAGAAAAATAATAATAATATGTATATTATTAAAAACGTTTAAGCAATACAAGTTACGAATTAATTATTATACAATAGGACATCTGCAAATCAATATTCTCATTCAAAAATGTTAGTTTATATTTTTCTGGTATTGTCCTTAAAACTTTTTAATAAGTGAAAACAGTTATTACGTTCATGAACATGTAAATAAAAAAAATAAGAATATAATTATAGATTTAAATTATAGCAATTTCATACCTAATGACCATTCGAGCACTTATAAGAAAACCTTGATTAAGTTTATGACTGGCTCAACACATTGCGTGACTAAATCGTTTGATCTAACTAAAATACATTTGATAAAAATACATTGTGCATTAGAAAAATAAAATTTATCAATAAAAAATACATTATATAATGTTTGTGAAATGTAAAAAATGAGATCAAATGCCAATAAATTAATCCCTACGTTTTAAACCAAACCAAAATCCGTTTTTAGAATTAAAAGTGAAACCAGTCTTCGATAATTTAAAAGGTATTTCCGATTTTTCAGTTGGAACAATATTGAATTTTGCTAGCAGATAAACAAAAACAACTTTGGCTTCTAATAATGCAAACCTAGAACCAATGCAGTTTCTTGGTCCAGCACCAAAAGGAAGATACATGTGAGGCTTAATGTTAACTTTGTTCTCGTCGTTGAATCTTTCGGGATCGAACTTTTCAGGGTTGGGATAATATTTGGGATCTCTATGAATTCCAAAGATTGGCACAGAAATAACGTCTCCAATATTCAGATTTACCGGAACCTCGTCTGGAGCAACTGGTGCTATGGTGTAAGGCTTAACACATACTCTATCCATGCCTACAGCTGCAGGCCATTTTCTTAATGTTTCAGTAGTAATCATATCCAAATATTTCATTTTGTTGATCGATTCGTAAGTTATCACTCCATCGTTTTCTTCAAAAACAGCATCAATCTCCTTTTGCAACCTTTCTTGAATATCTGGATTAACAGTCAATTCGTAAGCCATGAGGACCATTAATGTTGCAACAGAATCAAATCCAGCAAAGAAAAAAATTAACGCTTGAGCTGTTATGGTATCATCTGTGATTGGGTCTTTTACTTTCTTCACAGTCTTTCCAATTTCCGATTCTTCGGCTGTAGCAAAACCAGTCTCTTTTACAGCTGAAGTTTCTTCGTAATTTAATCGACCTTTTCTAGCTTCCATTAATAAATGTAGCATGTCCGGTCTTGAAATATTATTTTCCTCTCGCATTTTAAGCGAGTCTTTAATGATGCAACGGAAAAACATCTCCACTCTTTTGTTGAAGAACGAAATTCCAAATAACTAATGAACAAAATTTGTAATAATATTATTTGAATATTTATTGATTCTACTCACATTGCTCAATTTTGGCATCATCATGTATAATAGAAATCTGATATTTTTCCAAATGCCCGTAGAATCTGTCAATAGCTTTCCCATCAAATAAAACTCATTTTTTCTTTGTTTAATTGAATTGCATTGCACACCGAAAGCGCAAGTAGCTATAACGTCATTAGTGTACCTAGTAAATAGATCCTTCAGCTCAATGGATTTGCTTTCCTCTGGATTGTTTTCAAAGTATTTGGATACTTCTTGGGCACATTCTGACATCAAAGCAAACATTGCTCGCATTTTACTTCCAGTAAATGCAGGACTTAGAGTAGCCCTCATATCTCTCCATTTATCACCTAGAAAATACAAAATATATTCTATGTTTACAATCTACCTTATATATAGAAGATTACCTTTCAAAGCAAACAAATTACTTGTCCAAAGAGGCTCAACGCCTTCCGGAATAAAGCTCATATGATCTGTGAAATGATCGAAATCTTTCACTGTTATCTGCTTTATCAACTCGGAATCTCTCAGCATAAGCATAGGTCTACTAAACTGAAAAACACCGCTATATCTGAAACAATACATTATCGTCATATGCAAACTACAAAAATAAAAGAAAAGCCTACCTAGACTCTGGAAATTCATTGTAACTGTCTAGAAAATATTCTGAAAATGATTTATTCATAAAAAACAATTTAAATTTTTGTTTGACGCCTTTATTAGTCCAATAATTCAATTTTTTATAAATGAACCAACAGAATGCAATTAACAGCAAAACGACGAGTAACCAAAACATCGTTTTATCTAAAAACTGAAATAACTTTTATTTAATATAACTATAAATTAAATAATATATACCTTGCTTGTTGTCTTATATACGTCTTGCGTGATGTCCACTGAGCTACTACTGAACCAAAATCAACGAACGTATTAATATCATTTAACCTTGACGTAATTGTGGGTCTCGTAACTTAATCAATTATATGATGACATCCTACAGGCAAGTGTACTCTTTAAAAACAAAAAATATATATTATATCTTTTGTTATTAACTCTTTATGATAATATTAATCATATAGGCCAAAAGACCTAGGTCGATAATATTTTGGTCATAATATTTGACAAATAAATATTTTAAAATAAATAAAATATTCATATAAGTAATAATAATGTTTATTGCATCGTACAAAAAAACATACAGAAATAAAAAGAATAAAATAAATATATATTTATATTATATTAACCATAAGTCTTTCTGCTCATATAAGTAATATGATTTCAGTTTACAGACAGCATTTTTTTAAATAAAATAATACATATATACTAATTGTGCGTAATAAAATAATTATTTAATACAGTTAATAAAAAAACATAATTTATTTCAGAAATTAAAATTATAAAATCTATCTTTTTCTATTAATACATAAACTATTGACCGCAGAATAACCGCCCTAATTTTCTTAAATATATTACTCAAAATGTGTAAAATCTAAAATAGTTCTTATATTTATATGTATTTATTTCAACTATATGTATATTTAATACATTTATTTCTATGTTATTCAAATGTAAAAAAAAACAGAAATCCAAACCAAAAATAAGGTATCTCATATTTTGAAGCAGTACAATTTCTTGGTTCAGAACCAAAAAACAGATACAACAATAACTCGATTAATACTCTTCGAATAGTCTGGATTCATTAGAGTCTCGTTTAGAAAATTTAAAAACAATCTAAATTTTAATTGAACAAAATAAAAATAGATTCTAAATGATAGTATATAAATGATCAGGTTTTGTTCAGTTCGTTTCCATTTCCATGAAATAATAACAATAATTGTGGAAACTGTATATAAATTTTGATAAGCATTGTAAAATGCATTTTTTTCTGTTACATTCCTGTTAAAAATACATTTTGATTAGTTTATAAGTTTAAAGTCTTACCTTAAGTTTGAGTATTACAAGTAGGGATCAGCGAGTAAAGATGTTGAGCACAGAGAGCTCTGAAATATGCTGCGAATATGGGGTCCCCTAGGGGGAAGTCCTTGCTCTTGCGCTATACTCTATATACAAATGACATAGCCAACATTGAGTTAGAGAGAAGCATATACATGTATGCGGACGACACATGTATTCTGTACGGACATAGGGAGGAAACGGCGTTGCAGAACAGCATCAACAACGACATAATTAAACTATTAACAATAAATGAGACTAAAACACAATACATGATTCTACACCAAAAAATGCTAGAAAGATCGAACTAAACATCACTATAAACAATATCAGCATAAAAAAAAAGTAGAACAAGAGAGATACTTGGGAATACTATTGAACAACAAACTGGGTTGGGACGACCACATAGGCTTACAAAAAAAATGCTACGTTAACTATGTTTCCATCGTTGAATCGTTCGGGATCAAACTTTTCAGGATTTTTGATAATATTTTGGACCTTTGTGAATTAAAAATACTGTCACCGAAAGAACGTCTCCAACTTTTAAAGTAAGTGGAATTTCATCTAGTAAAACTGGTTTGATGGTATATGGCTTCACGCAGACTTGATCAATTCATTAATTAAGAATAGTACCTTTCAAAGTAAACAAGCTTCTTGTCCAAATTGGCACAGCATCCTCAGAAATGAATGTGTTGTGATCGGTAAAATGATCAAAGTTCACTGTTATTTGCTTTATTAAGTCAGAATCTCTCAAGATTGAAAAAAAAAAGAAAAACACCGCTGTACCTGAAATGAATCATATATGTTATATATAAAATATAAATATCATCAATTGATAACCTTGATTTTGGAAATTCGTCGTAGGTATCTTGTAAATTTTCCGCAAATGATTTTTTCATACAAAGCATTTGAAAAATTTCATATTACAGGAATACTTTTTTTGTTTAATACATTTGTTAGTCCAATAATTCAATTTATTATGATTGTACCAAACAAATATTACCAGCAGCAAACCTACGAGTAACCAAATCATTTTCCTTTTGTAAAAAATCACATTAATATAAGAAAAGCTATAAACTAAATAATGCTACTACATCAACAAATGCATTTGTTTTATTTAATCTTGCCTTAATTTTCGAGCTAGTATTTTATTCAATTTAGTATCGCCATTACAGACTTTTTTATCTTCTGAAAACAAAAACAATACTCAGTAATAAAGTGGAAAATCTGCGGTCAATAGCGCTTTGTATATATATGTACAATTCATTTTGTTTATTATTAATATTATAATCTTTTTTGCAATTAACTTTTTTCATCCCAGATATAAATAATATGATTGATCTTCGCTCAGCAGCCATCAGCGGAAGTGGTTTGCTACTCCAATAACTTTGTCTGTAAGCAGATTGATGCCGAACAACAGTGGAGCAAAGTCCAGCAAGAAATGATTGCTTGGAGTCTACATACAAAACAATAATTATCGTTAGAACTGGTCTAGTTGAGGTGAATTTTCTGATACGCAGTAGAAGTTATAGATGGCGTTCCACCAACAGATCGGTGACTGCTGGAATAGTGGCAGAAAAAATGAAACAATTCAGAGAAGTGACCTAATGTCTAATCCCAGTCATTTTATACTGTATGGCTAAAAAATACAGCCACATAAGGTTTCACATGGGCCAGGCGCTCTTAGGAAACGGGTGCTTTGGTAATTGAAGTTTTGAAGGGTCTATTGTAAAGATGAGGGACGTGATGGTTCCGAAGAACCGACAGCACAGGTTATGCAGATGGAAAAAAATGAACAACTCAGGAAACTAGATCAAGATAGCTTAGTTGGTCAAATGCTGAAGAGACAGATGGTTGCAGAAAATGACAATGGTCCTGGATGATTGATTAAGAATATTTAGTGAATAAAAATCCCACAATATCACGACTCCACCCATTTACCTAAGCAAGATTTCTTGTAAAATACAATAACATATAAATAATATGATTTAAATTATTTTATAAATTAAATCTTAAAATTTAGCTTAAATAAAAACAACCAACTATAACCAACTTTCAATATATAACGTCCCTATAAATATATTTAAAGGAACTATTTTATATTATCTTTTTATTCCGCTTCATTATAATAATTCCTCATTATAATTACAATCTTTTTTATGATAACAACTTTAATTTATTATTTTGGCTAAAAAATAGAAAAACATTTTTTTAAATTAAATTATAATAAACACAATATATTAAATATCAGTAATTATTACAATAGAAAGACCAAATCTATATTTAAATAAAATGTATACGTGACGTAAACGTATATTAGTGACATATAAAATACAATTGTATCGCTTATGAACTTATGAATCCCTAAGTTTCAAACCGAACCAAAAACCGTTTTTAGAATTAAAATTGAAGCCTGTCTTGGATAATTTTACAGGTATCTCCGATTTCTCAGTTACAACAATATTGAATTTTGCAAGTAAATGAATATAAACAACTTTCGTTTCTATTAGTGCAAATCTTGAACCAATACAATTCCTTGGTCCAGAACCAAATGGCAGATACGTGTACGCTTCAATGTTAACTTTGTTTTCATCGTTGAATCGTTCGGGATCGAACTTTTCAGGATTAGGATAATTTTTTGGATCTCTGTGAATACCATAAACTGGCACAGAAATAGCGTCTCCAACTTGAAGAGTTACTGGAATTTCGTCTGGTAAAACTGCTGGAATCGTGTATGGTTTTACACAAACTCGATTAATGACTATATTTGGCGGCCATTTCCTCAAAGTTTCAGAAGTAACCATATCCAAATATTTCATTTTGTTGATGGCATCATAAGTTATCTTTCCATCGTTCTCCTCGAGAACGATATCTATTTCGTTTTGTAGCCTTTCTTGAATATCTGGATGAACAGCCAATTCGTAAGCCATGAGGACCATTAATGTTGCAACAGAATCAAATCCAGCAAAAAAGAAAATTAATGCTTGAGCCGTTATGTCATCGTCTGTAATTACGTCTTTTACTTTTTTAACGGTCTTTCCAATTTCCGATTCTTCAACTGCGGCAAAGCCAGCATCTTGGATAGCTATATTCTCGTCATAATTCAATTGACCTTTCCTAGCATCCATTAACAAATGAATCATATCCGGTCGTGTAACATTATTTTCTTCTCGCATTTTTATGGTGTCTTTAATAATTCGACGAAAGAATATTGATACACTTTTTTCAAAGAACGAAAACCCAAGTATCTAATTATGAGAAATATTAATAATTTTACCATAACTTGTATGAATAATACTCACTTTACTCAATTTCGGTAACATCATGTATATCAACAATTTCGTAATCTTCCAAATACCCGTAAAATCTGTAGCCAAGTTTCCCATCAAGTAAAACTCATTATTCCTTTGTTTAATTGAATTACATTGTACTCCAAAGGCGCAAGTTGCTATAACGTCGTTAGTGTACCTTGTGAATAAATCCCTTAACTCAATGGATTTACTTTCTCCTTGATGGTTTTCAAAATATTTGGCTACTTCTTGGGCACAATCGGACATTAGAGCAAACATTGCTCGCATTTTACTACTTGTAAATGCAGGACTTAGGGTAGCTCGCATATCTCGCCATTTATCACCTGAAATACAATATATAGCTTCTATATGTAAATTAATTTATACTAAGAATATTACCTTTCAAAGCAAATAAATTACTGGTCCAAAGTGGTTCAATACCTTCCGGAACAAGGTTTATGTGATCGGTAAAATGCTCGAAGTCTTTTACTGTTATCTGCTTTATCAACTCGGAATCTTTCAATACCAGTAATGGACTATACAATTGAAAACTACCGCTGTATCTGAAACAAATCATATTTACATAGAAACCAAAGAAAATTATAAACGTGCACTTACCTTGAATCTGGAAATTCATTGTATGTATCTTGTAAAAGTTCCACAAATGATTTTTTCATAAAAAACATTTTATATAACTCATACAACAAAAACGTTTTTTTTTGCTTAACACCTTTGTTAGTCCAATAATTTAATTTCTTGTAGTTGTACAAATATAATATTATAAATAACAAACCAAGAAGTAACCAAAACATATTTCTCTAAAAAATAAAATACCATTACTTTTACAAAGTTACTGTCCAAAAAATACTGTACTAGTTTTTAGATATCCGTCTTGAGTGATATCCACTATGATACAGTTGTATTAGAAGATGTACTCGCTATATTTTCCTTGACGTAACTTAAGATTAATCAATTTAATGTTGGTATTGCAGCACAAAAGTGTTCTCTTGAAAACGATAATAGTAATAACGTAATCTCTTTGGCAATTTATATTTATCTTCCCGGATGTGTAATACAATTTTGTCGTGACCGACCTTTTTATTATCATCTATTATATAAATAATTGGAATATTTGTTAGGCATATAACTTCCCTCTAAATTATTATAACGCACATGTCACATATAATGTTAAATACTTGAAACATTATTCATATTAATACATGTGAAGAGACTTATGCTATGGGATGGCTTACTTCTGAATTGTTGTAAACAGGCAACCAAGCAAACAAAGGAAATTGTAATAACACGGATTTACATCTATAAAAATAAAAAATAAACGTATGTACTAGGAGAGGTGATAGTCTAATGATAGGACAAAAGAAAAAACATATATCTCTGTGGTAAGTTTATTAACTTAAAAGATTAAATTGTTACCCTTAGTTAACAATCTATGAGATCAACACTTGTACAATAAAAATATTTGAGAATATTGCATATAATTTTCATAAACCCCACTAAAATTCCGCAATTCCAATTCACGGTGTCCAGAGTTTTAAAAGAAATAATATACCGCCTTTTCAAAGGCGTAACATATGTCTTTAAATGATTACGTATCTCTTAATTGTGAGTAGTTTAAACGTTAGTTTATAAATTGTAGCTCGTAAAACAAAATCTTAGATAAGTTTTAACCATATCCAAATATTTCATTTTGTTGATGAATTCAGTTATCTTTCCGCAAGAATATCATCGATTTCATTTCGAAATCTTTATTGAATATCTGGATTAATAACCGATTTGTAAGCTGTTAGGACCATAAATGTGGAAACAGTATCAAAACTGACAAAATAGAAAATTAACGCTTAAGACTCATGTCTTTCCAATTTACTATTCTTCGATAATCAATATAAGATTTTACACTCTTTGCATAATTTTGGCATCATGCAAAATATCATCAATGTGACACAATTTGGTTGCCAACTTTCCTTTGTTTAGTTGAATTGTTTTGTATTCTAAAATCGCAAATTGCTTAACGTCGTTAGTGTACCTTGTCAAAAAATCCTTCAACTTAATAGATTTACTTTCTTCTTGATTTTACTAATTGCAAATGAAAATGTAAGCATTTCTCTCATATCTCACTATTTATTACCTGGAAATGCAATATGTAAACTTATTTTTTAATTACGAATAATAAAAGTAAAAAAGTTTATTGTCTAAATTACCTTAGAATTTTTAGAAATGAAAGTGTTGTGATCAGAAAAATGATCAGTCTTTCACTACTATCTTCATGTAAATCACTTTTGTTAGTTAGTTAGTTAGTAATTAAATTTATTTTGTGTCTTTAATGATGCGACAGAATAATCTTGATACACTTTTCTCAAGAAACGAAAATTCAAGTATCTAATTATAAGAATATTAATCATTTTACAATAACTTGTATGAGTACTACTCACTTTGCTCAATTTCGGTAACATTATGTATATCATCAATTTCATAGTCTTCAAAAACCCGTAAAATCTGTTGCCATCTTTCCCATCAAATAAAACTCATTATTCCTTTGTTTAAATGAATTGCATTATACTCCAAAAGCGCAAGTTGCCATGACGTCGTTAATGTACCTCGTAAATAGATCCTTCATTTCAACGGAATTGGTTTCTTCAGGATGGGTTTCAAAGTATTTTGCTACTTCTTGGGCGCAGTCTGACATTAAAGTAAACATTGCTCGCATTTTACTACCAGTAAAAGCTGGACTCGAAGTGTCCGCATATCTCGCCATTTATCACCTGAAATGCTATATGTAGTTTACAGATGTAAATTAATTTATATTATGTCTGGTTTTATATTACCTTTCAAAGAAAACAAATTACTGGTAAAAAGTGGTTCGGTACCTTCCGGAACTAAGTCCACGTGATCGGTAAAAGTCTTTCACTGTTATCTGCTTTATCAACTCGGAATCTTTTAATACTAGTAAGGGTCTACAAAATTGATAACTACCGCTGTATCTGAAACAAATCATTACATATGAGACCATTATAATCGTTAACTTACCTTGAAGTTGGAAATTCATTGTATGTATCTTTTAAAAATCCGCAAATGATTTGGTCATAAAAAACATTTTATACAATTCAAATAAATTCAACCCTCCTTTTTGTTTAACACCTTTGTTAGTCCAATAATTCAATTTCTTATAGTTGTACAAACATATTATTGCCAATAACAAAGCAAGAAGTAAACAAAACATGTTTTCTCTAAAACATTAACTCTACAAAGTTACTGTCCACAAAATTATATACTTGATATAATATATCCTTCTTGTACGACGTCCACTGTGCTACTACTGGATAAAAATATGTATTCGCTTCATTTAACCTTGACGTAATTTAAGATCTCGTAAGCTAATCAATTTAATGTTGGTATTTTCAGAATCAAATTGTTCTTTTGAGAACAAAAATAATAATAATAATATATCTTCCCGGATGTAAATAATATAATAGAAATTATTTTTTTAATTTTAGAAGAAATAATAATATACTGAGATAAAATAATCAACCTCAGCCTTTTCACCTTTTAGAATTAATTACTTATTTCTATAAATTATTACATATCTGTTTTTTGCAAGTATATTCAATTTTACTTTACAAATTGTAGTTAGTTAAATAAAATCTAAGTTGAGTTAGAAACCTATCAACAAAATATGGAACAAATTTATTTTCAAATTGTACTCGATGAACCATATCTTTCTAATTAATTAATCTGAGATTTTGTTTGTTTGATCTGTGTACCTAACAATAATATTTCAAGTAATAATAAATTAAATATATTTCTTTATTCACATTTTCTAATAATTTTTTATTAATAATGAATGTATAATAAAACCTCTTTTCTTATACTATTAGTAGTAAAATAATGTGTAGTGCTTATGATTCAATCTCTTTGTTTTAAGGCAAACCAAAAACCCTTTTTAGAATTAAAACTGAAGCCTGCATTGGATAATTTTAAAGGTATCTCCGATTTCTCAGTTGGAACAATATTGAATTTTGAAAGCAGAGAAACAAAAACGACTTTTGCTTCTAACAGAGCAAATCTTGAACCAATGCAGTTCCTTGGTCCTGAACCAAACGGCATATACATCTGAGATTTAATATTAACTTTGTTTTCATCGTTGAATCGTTCGGGATCGAACTTTACAGGATTTGGGTAATATTTGGGATCCATGTGTATTCCATAAACAGGCACTGAAATAACGTCTCCAACTTGTATTGTTACTGGAACTTCGTCTGGTAAAACTGCTGGTATGGTGTACGTCTTTACGCAGACTCGATCCATACCTATAGCTACAGGCCATTTCCTCAAAGTTTCAGAAGTAACCATATCCAAATATTTCATTTTGTTGATGGATTCATAAGTTATCTTTCCGTCGTTCTCCTCGAGAACAGCGTCTATTTCATTTTGTAGTCTTTCTTGAATATCTGGATTAACAGCCAATTCGTAAGCCATGAGTACCATAAATGTGGCAACAGTATCAAATCCAGCAAAAAAGAAAATTAGCGCTTGGGCCGTTATATCGTCATCTGTGATTGCATCTTTTACTTTCTTTACCGTCTTTCCAATTTCCGATTCTTTAACTGTAGCAAAACCTGCCTCTTGTGCTGCTGAAGTTTCCTCGTAATTCAAACGACCTTTCCTAGCTTCCATCAACAAATGTATCATGTCCGGTCGTGTAATATCATTTTTCTCTCGCATTTTTATTGTATCTTTAATGATACGACGGAAGAACATCGACACTTTATTGTCAAAGAACGTAATTCCAATTACCTAAGTATTTAAAAAAATATTATTTATAATTTATATATATATATATATATTGATACTACTCGCTTTGCATAATTTAGGCATCATTACATATAATATCACTTTGAAATTCTTCCAAAAACCCGTGAAATCTGTAGCCATTTTTCCCATTATGTAAAATTCATTTTTTCTTTGTTTAATTGAATTGCATTGTACGCCGAAAGCGCAAGTTGCTATTATGTCGTTAGTGTATCTTGTGAAGAAATCCTTCAATTCAATGGATTTCTTTTCTTCTGGATGATTCTCAAAGTATTTTGATACTTCTTGAGCACATTCTGACATTAATGCGAACATCGCTCGCATTTTACTACCAGTAAATGCAGGACTAAGTGTAGCCCTCATATCTCGCCATTTATCACCTAAAAATACAACATTTAGATACTATATATAGACTATTTTGTAGTACAAATTTTACCTTTCAAAGCAAATAAATTACTTGTCCATAAGGGCTCAGTGCCTTCCGGAATAAAGTTCATGTGATCCGTAAAATATTCGAAATCTTTCACTGTTATCTGTTTTATCAACTCGGAATCTCTCAAAACGAGCACAGGCCTATAGAATTGAAAACCACCGTTGTATCTGAAATTCAATCGTTGTGAGCAGAAATAACAAAAGATCATTAAATATGAAAGTTTAGTTTATATATCTCAATCCAGAATTAATTATTAATCAAAGTATGCGTCTCAAAAATCTTACCTTGAGTTTGGAAAGTCATTGTAGCTGTCTTTTACTATTTCTGCAAATGGTTTTCTCATACATAGTACTTTATATATCTCATATAACAAGTACACTCTTTTCTGATTAACGCCTTTGCTAGCCCAATAATTTAATTTCTTATAATTAAACCAACAAAATAGTGCCAATAACAAACCGATCAGTAACCAAAACATTTTTTACTAAAAGCAAAGTCACACTAATGTTAAAAAAAAACTACAAATTGTATAGTATACCGTATTTGATCTCGTACATCCGCCCTGCATGAAGTCCACTGTGCTACTACAACATCAAAAATGATTTAATTCCATTTAACCTTGTCGTAATTGTGTATGACGTAATAATATTTTAATGTTAACATCGCAAACGCATTTTTATCTACAGAAAACAACAAATATAAAATTATCTCTCTAGAAATTATCTTTCGATATCCCAAATTCAAATTATGTGATTTAAATTTGAAAATTAAAATGTGAGATCGTTTGTTTTGATCGCTGACCTCAGCCTTTTTAAACAGATTATGTCCAATAAATATTTGTATTTGTATACATAATAAATGCTTATATAGTATATATCATATAAGTTTAGATTTTTGAAAATTGTTTACCTCAAAAAAAAAAGAGTAACAAAACAAGATAATTGAAAAAAAACAGTTAAAGCTGATTACAGAACATAGATCCGCCTACACTATTTTCATTAAAAATTTTCTTCAAATTATAATTTTTAATGTAACAAATTGTATTTATATAATTTTGACAATCACATGATTTTTTTATTATTTTATTTAGAAATATATTTAATGGATTTTTTTAGTATTATGTGTGAAAAGCAACTTCCTTCAATTGAATTTAAATTTAACAAAAAGTGAGAGAAACTATTTTGATTTTCTAATACTGGAAATCGTTGAATTGTGAATAGAATTATGTTAATGTCGTTATTTGAAGAAGATGCGGAAAGCAGACGTTCGGACATAAAGAATAAAATATAATTAACTGTAAAATGTAAAAAATATGTTTCAAGACTTGGATTATTTTAATTAATTTTAACTTAGAACAATATTGTTGAAGGAATATAATTTTAGATTGTAGCAAAGCATACCAAATTATAAAGAAAACATTTTTATAACAACTATAATTTTAATTTTACAACTTATAACTGTTTTCATCAATGTATATTAGCTAATAATAAACATTTTATAATGGTAGTTACGTAAAAAAAAAAGATTTACATTACCTATGAACTATGCCCTACGTTTTAAACCAAACCAAAATCCGTTTTTAGAATTGAAATTGAAACCAGTCTTGGATAATTTTAAAGGTATCTCCGATTTTTCAGTCACAACAATGTTAAATTTTGTAAGCAAAGAAACTAAAACTACTTTCGTTTCTAACAAAGCAAATCTTGAACCAATGCAGTTTCTTGGCCCAGACCCAAAGGGCAGATACATATATGATTGAATGTTCATTTTATTTTCATCGTTGAATCGTTCGGGATCAAACTTTTCAGGATTTGGATAATATTTTGGATCTCTGTGGATCCCATAAACTGGTACCGAAATAACGTCTCCCACTTTTAGAGTTACTGGTTTTTCGTCTGATAAAACTGCTTGGATTGTATAAGGCTTCACACATACACGATCCATACCTATAGCTATAGGCCATTTCCTCAAAGTCTCAGAAGTAACCATATCTAAATATTTCATTTTGTTAATCGCTTCATATGTTATATTTCCATCATATACTTCGAGAACTGAATCAATTTCTTTTTGCAATCTGTCTTGAATATCTGGATTGAGAGCCAATTCGTAAGCCATTAGGACCATTAATGTGGCAACAGATTCAAATCCGGCAAAGAAGAAAATTAACGCTTGAGCCGTTATGTCATCATCTGTGATTGCATCTTTCTGTTTCTTCGCGTTCATTCCAACTTCTGATTCTTCTACTGTAGCAAAGCCAGTCTCTTGTACTGCTGAAGTCTCTTCGTAATTAAATCTCCCTTTCCTAGCTTCCATTAACAAATGAATCATGTCCGGTCGTGTAATATTATTTTCTTCTCGCATTTTAATGGTATCCTTAACGATACGACGGAAGAACGTCGACACTTTCTTGTCAAAGAACGAAATTCCAATTACCTAAGAGTATAAAAATGAATAATTAAAAAATATGTATTTATACCAACTTGCTTTGAATAATTTAGGCATCATTATGTACAATATCAATTTCAGATTCTTCCAAAAACCCATGAAATTCGTCGCCAACTTTCCCATCAAATAAAACTCATTATTCCTGTGTTTAATTGAATTGCATGTTACTCCAAAGGCACAAGTTGCTATAACGTCGTTAGTGTACCTCGTGAATAAATCCTTCATCTCAATGGATTTGCTTTCCTCTGGATGATTCTCAAAGTGTTTGGAAACTTCTTGAGCACATTCTGACATTAGTACAAACATAGCTCGCATTTTACTACCAGTAAATGCCGGACTAAGAGTAGCTCTCATATCTCGCCATTTATCACCTAAAATTACAACATTTAGCTACTAAACTATATTGTAGTACAAATTTTACCTTTCAAAGCAAATAAATTACTTGTCCATAGGGGCTCAGTACCTTCCGGAATAAAGTTCATGTGATCAGTAAAATGATCGAAATCTTTCACAGTTATCTGCTTTATCAACTCAGAATCTCTCAGCACTAATACAGGTCTGTAGAATTGAAAACCACCGCTATATCTGAAATAAAATATAAATGTCATATAACAAATAATATGTATATAAAAAATGTCACCTTGAGTTTGGAAATTCATTGTAACTATCTTGTATAAATTCTGCAAATGGTTTTTTCATATAAATCACTTTAAATAACTCATACAACAGAAACACTTTTTTTTGTTTAACACCTTTGTCAGCCCAATAATTCAATTTTTTATAGTTGAACCAACAAAATATTGCTAACAACAAACCAATGAGTAACCAAAACATTTTTACTCTAAATACTTAAATCCAATTAACGTTAAGAAGCTACAAAGTCGATAAATATATTTGTCGAAGACATCCACTTTGCATGAAGTCTACTGATCTACTGGTACTTCAATGAATGTATTTGTTCCTTTTAACCTTGACGTAATTGTGGATCTCGGAGTTTAATCAATTTAATGTTGGCATCGAAGACGCATTTTATTCTTTTGAAAACAAAAACAATAAAATAATCTCTTCAGGAATTTTGTTATCCCAAATGTAAATAATATAATTTATTGAAACTAGTAAAGAAATACTGTTGACAGTCCTAATATATTTTGATTAGTTTTAATTGAAATTTTCCACAATATTTATTATGATAACCACAATGAAATAAAATAAATATTGTAATACTAAAATAGTATCAAAATACTACTTCTTAAAATTGTTTGTATAAAAACACATATCGCATCTATCTGTAATCTTTTAAATTCCAATGCACGTATTAATTAAAATATATACACTTTTACTTTCTACAATATAGAGAAGAGTTTCGTTGCTTAACTTATCTTGTGTATATAAATAGTTTACAATAATAATTTAAATATTTGTCAATGTTTAGGCAACACAAGCGATTTCATAAAGAGTCAAATTGACATAGTAACGGACAAAATTACAAAGAAAAATCAGGAAATGTCATTTCTATTAACAAATAACAAAACTATGTACAATATGATTCTATGTGGTGAATACCATAGTCTCAAAATTAATAAATTGTTTCATTATTTCTAATACAGTCAGTTATTATTTCTATGTTTCTAATTATTTCAAATTACAATAAACCGTAAAAATATTTTAATACTAATGTATGAACAATATGCCTTAAAAACTAATTCAGTCAATTTTCAGCATGAGGACTTCCTGAAGATTTGATCGCAAATACCATAATGAATATGGATGAATAAGTAGCATATGAGCACATTTTGAAAATGCTTTTGTCCTGAGCGATTTTGTTACGTCGCCCTCTAAGAAGCAGAACAGGCTTAAATAATTGTAAAACGGCATTATATCTCCAACGAATTATCTTCATGTATCATACAAGTATAGAAGAAAATATACACTAGCTGTCTAAAATATGTTCTGGAAATGATTTTTTTTATACAAAATAATTTAAATAAATCATTTAACAGAAACACTCTTTTTTATTCAATTTCTTTGTTTGTCCAATAATTAAAATGATTAGAATTGAACCAAACGAATATTACCACAATAAACCGATGAGTTATCAAAACATAATTTCTCTCAAAACTAAAATCGCATTAGCAAATAATAAACTTGTTTGATGTCTTGCATGATGTCCACAGCGCTAGTATTGTACCAAAATCAACAATTGTGTTAATTAAATTTGACCTTCTCATATCTGTGGAACTCGTAGGTCAATTGGATGCTGCCAACGCAAAAGCAATTACTTTTATTTGAAAAATATGAGACGAGTTGCTGATATATTAAAAATGAAACAGCAATTATATTTTATATGCCAATATACAGTAGTATCTCCATACTTGACAAATGGTATTCCACTTCTCATTCTCACCATGAACTCAATTAATCCGTTTTTTTAAATAGTGCTATTGCCGAAGACATGCAAAATGCAAAATACTTCACTTCAATCTCCCAATTCTTGAAATTATTTTTATGTTTTTCGATTAATTGTCTTTTTAATTCATCATTTTAATTTGAAATAATAATAATATATATGAAACAAATTATGCAATTAATATTTTTTTTTTATTTTGGAATATAATACTAGATTAATAATATATTTTTATTTACAACAAAATGGAATACAACTAATATTCTAATTCAAGTTTATTTAAGATTTGTTAAATTACAATTATAAAGTAAATATTTTAATTTAATACATGCCATTAGTTATTCTTTAATGTACACAACTTATTATACTGTTAGTGAAATTTAAAGGCTTCTAAGCTAATCTCTAAGTTTTAAGCCAAACCAAAATCCGTTTTTAGAATTAAAACCGAAGCCAGACTTCGATAATATTAAAGGTACTTCTGATTTTTCAGTTACAATAATATTAAATTTTGCAAGTAGATGAACGAACACGACCTTCGATTCTAACAAGGCAAATCTTGAGCCAATGCAATTTCTTGGTCCAGAACCAAACGGCAGAAACATACACGATTTAATGTTCACTTTGTTTTCATCGTTGAATCTTTCGGGATCAAACTTCTCGGGATTTGGATAACATTTGGGATCCCTGTGAATCCCATAAACTGGTATAGAAATAATATCTCCAACTTTCAGAGTTACCAGATTTTCATCTGGTGAAACTGGTGGGATAGTGTATGGTTTCACACATACCCGATTCAATTCTAAAGCTGCAGGCCATTTTCTCAATGTTTCAGAAGTAACCATATCTAAATATTTCATTTTGTTGATGACTTCGTAGGTTATCTTTCCATCATTTTCTTCCAGAACTGCATCGATTTCCCTTTGTAACCGTTCTTGAATATCTGGATTAACAGCTAATTCGTAAGCCATTAAGACCATCAATGTGGCAACAGGTTCAAATCCGGCAAAGAAGAAAATTAACGCTTGAGCCGTTATGGTATCATCTGTAATTGGTTCTTTTACTTTCTTCACGGTTTTTCCAATTTCCGATTCTTCGACTGTAGCAAAGCCAGTGTCTTGTACAGCTGAAGTTTCTTCATAATTTAATCGACCTTTCCTAGCTTCCATCAATAAATGTATCATGTCTGGTCGTACAATATTATTTTCTTCTCGAATTTTAATAGTATCTTTTATTAAACGACGGAAAAAAATCTCTACTTTTTTGTCAAAGAACGAAATTCCAAGTACCTAAAGATTAAAGATATTTAAAATTTTACAAAGATGTATAGTAATTTTACTCACATTACATAATTTTGGCATCAATATGAACATACAAAATTTAATATTTCTCCAAATACTAGTAAAATCAGTAGCCAGCTTTCCCATCTTATAAAACTCATTATTCCTTTGTTTAATTGAATTACATTGCACGCCAAAAGCGCAAGTAGCTATAACGTCGTTAGTGTACCTCGTGAATAAATCTTTCAGCTCAATAGATTTGCTTTCCTCTGAATGATCCTCAAAATGTTTGGCCACTTTTTGCGCGCATTCGGACATCAGGACGAACATCAATCGCATTTTACTACCTGTAAATGCGGGACTCAAAGTAGCCCTCATATCTCTCCATTTTTCACCTGGAATTAGGATAATCAGTTCTACAAGTTAGATATATATGACGAGTACTACCTTTCAAAGTCAACAAGTTATTAGACCAAATCGGTTCATTTAATTCAGAAATCAAGTTCACGTGATCAGTAAAATGATCGAAGTCTTTCACTATTATTCGATTTATCAACTCAGTATCTCTCAGAAGCAGAACTGGTTTAAACAATTGAAAAACTCCATTATATCTGAAAAAAAAACATTATGTACAAATACAATTATATAATAAAACTTACCTAGAGTCTGGAAATTCATTGTAATTATCTAAAAGAAGTTCTGAGATTGATTTTTTCATATAAAATATTTTAAATAAATCATATAACAGAATGTTTTTATTTTGTTTGGCGCCTTTGCTAGTCCAATAATTTATATTCCTACAGTTAAACCAAATAAAACTTATTAACAATATACCGATGAGTAACCAAAACATTTTTTTTCTAAGAATTAAAATCACATTAACATTAGAAACCTAATAACAAAAAAGAACTGTCGCGTTCTATTACATCCGCATTGTATGATGTTCACTGTACTACTGCTGCATTAAAATCAACATCTGTATTTATTCCATTTAACCTTGACGTAGCTAAACAACGAGTTAATTTATTGTGAACATGTTCAGTAATAGCATTCTGAGTAGAAATTAGACGATTAAATATATTTTGCAATTTAAAGAAATTTTTATTATATAAATTATTACATATTTCTTTTGAAAAAATGGCAATAACAAAAATTAAGAAAATTTTACTTATTGAATGGCGAAGCTTGAATTATAATAATGAGAAATGTATTACCAATTTAAATCTATTTTTGCAGTACTTTTATATAATACAAATTATATACAATTATACTAAATAATAGATATATCAAGTATATATTTAAACAAATATAATAAAAAAAACTAAAACATATCAATTTCCTTCATTGCAATTTAAAAACAATAGAAACTTGTAGATGTTGGACTATGAGAAAATCTGGATGGTTATGGGATTTAAAAGCAAATAATAAAATGGTTTCCTAATTATAATCAAAATTAATAGAAACAAATTATAATAAACAATACAAGTTCAAATCTTTCCTCGTCTCATGATCCAATCCTAACATATCTCATCATTAACCATCCAAAAAGAAATTACTCAATGTTTTGCTTTGTTTTATTTTTAGAATTAGAATTAGAACTTTAATTAGATTGTAAATATAATATGCTAGAACTGTAAATTTGCAATGAAAATATAACATTGTAACCTAATTTAAATTAGCAATTAAACATTGAAAACTAATATGTATATAATTTTATATAATGTACATGCACTACTTCCTAAGTTCTAATCCAAACCAAAATCCATTTTTAGCAGTAAAATTGAAACCTTTCTTGGATAATTTTAAAGGAACCTCTGATTTCTCAGTTACAACAATATTGAATTTTGCAAGTAGATAAAGAAAAACAACTTTCGCTTCTAGAAGTGCGAATCTTGAACCAATGCAATTTCTTGGACCAGAACCAAAAGGCATGTACATGTGCGAATTAATGTTAACTTTATTTTCATCGTTGAAACGTTCAGGATCAAACTTTTCGGGATTTGGATAAAATTTTGGATCTCTGTGAATTCCAAAAGCTGGCAAGGAAATAATATCTCCAACATTTAGAGTTACCGGATTTTCATCTGGTAGAACTGGCGCAATGGTGTATGGCTTCACACAGACTCGATCCGTTGCTACAGCTGCAGGCCATTTCCTCAAGGTTTCAGAACTAACCATATCTAAATATTTCATTTTATTGATGACATCGTAAGTTATGTTTCCATCATTATCCTCAATAACAGCATCAATTTCGCTTTGTAAACGTTCTTGAATATCTGGATTAACAGCCAATTCGTAACCCATTAGGACCATAAATGTGGCAACAGATTCAAAGCCGGCAAAGAAGAAAATTAAAGCTTGTGCCGTTATGGTATCATCAGTAATTGGGTCTTTTACTTTCTTTGTTTTTTTTCCAATTTCTGATTCTTCTACTGTAGCAAAGCCAGTCTCTTGCACAGCTGAAGTCTCTTCATAATTCAATCGACCTTTCCTAGCTTCCATCAACAAGTGAATCATATCAGGTCGTACTATATTATGATCCTGTCGCATTTTAATAGTGTCTTTTATGATGCGCCGAAAAAACTTGTGTACTCTTTTGTCGATGAACGTAATCCCAAGTACCTAATAATCAGAAATATTATTTTTTTATAATAACACATATTAATATCACTTACTTTGCTTAATTTTGGCATCGCCATGGATATTAAAAATTGAATATTTCTCCAAAAACCCGTGAAGTCTGTTAACAGTTTTCCCATCAAATAAAACTCATTTTTCTTTTCTTTGATTGAATTGCATTGTACACCAAAAGCACAAGTAGCAATAACGTCGTTAGTGTACCTCGTGAATAAATCCTTAAGTTCAATGGATTTTCTTTCCTTTGGATGATTCTCAAAGTATTTGGCCACTTCTTGGGCACATTCTGACATTAATGTGAACATTGCACGCATTTTGCTACCTGTAAATGCAGGACTAAGTGTAGCCCTCATATCACGCCATTTGTCACCTGGAAATACAATTTGTGACTCTTTTATAATGCGAAGTTTTATTACGAATTGTACCTTTCAGTGCAAACAAATTACTTGTCCAAAGTGGTTCAACATCTTCCGAAATAAAGCTAAAGTGATCGGTAAAATGATCAAAGTCTTTCACTGTTATCTGCTTTATCAAGTCAATATTTCTCACAAGCAACATAGGCTTAAAGAATTGATATGTACCATTATATCTAAAACAAAGTACCATCTTTATGTACATATATAAATGAGAAAAACAAACTTACCTAGAATTTGGAAATTCATTGTAACTATCTAATAAATGTTCTGCCATTGATTTTTTCATAAAAATAATTTTCATTATATCATTTAAAATGAATTTTTTTTTTTGATTTACACCTTTTTTGGTCCAATAATTATATATATTATAGTTGAACCAAAGTAATGTTACCAACAACAAACCGATTAGTACACAAAACATGTTCTGTTTCTAAAAAAATAATCATATTAACCTGAGAGTTATAAACAAAAATATCTCTTACTTGATTTGTAATATACGCCTCGTGTGATATCTACTATACTAATACTGCATTGAAATCAACAAATGTTTTTATTCCACTTATCCTTGACGTAACTGTGTATCTCGTAGTTTAATCAATTTAATATTAACAGCGCAGTCGCAAATATCTTCTCATGAAAAAGTAAAAATATTGTAATATTTTGGCGAAATAACAGCTGTTTTTTTTTGTATCAGCACATGGCCAATAGCCCTTTGTAACAAAAACTTATTTGAAATTATATATATTTATTTTGTTCTGTATATGTTTTTTTGTACGATTGCTGCAATAAACATTATTATTTATTATTATTGTTTATTTGATGACGGTATTCTGGATAGAAATTTGTGTTAAAACATTTATTTAATTCTACAATTTATTAGGTATATATTCTCCCTGCGTACTTATAATACATTCAACAGCAATAAAAATGTAGATTAAATTTTACTTTAGGAATAGCGGCGCGTGAAATACGAAGTAAGAAGAGTTACGGATGGAATAAATATAAAACCAATTCATTTTCTAATTATATTCGAGGAAATATATTTATTTCCGACAAAATAAAATAAAATTTATTGTGTGCCTGTCTTTTCATATTAATATTTTTATTCAATTTTTTGTACATAATAATATTTATTGGAATAGTCTTTTTTATCACACATATTATTAACAATAAATTATTGTAGATGTTTAGTAGTGGGTGCAAATTTTTATAATCTCTACTCTCGAGATTATTAGGAACGAAATGTCTGATTATTAAAATTAAATTTTCTGCTTCCCGAGAAATTAAAGACTACTGATATTGATGGGACTGATTACCCGGACTATACGAGTTATAGCTGTATTTATTGTAATTAATATTTTTTAATACATAATATAATAATCTATATTTGTAAATACTTAACAAAAAGTAATTACACATACTAATATATGACAATATGTAAGATAAGATTACACAATTAATCAAACAAATATTTACTTTTCAATTGAGATATAGATAAATCATATAAAAATAAGATAGCAAAATATAAAATTAACATAAACAGATTGAAGTATTTAAGAGAAGGCTCGAAGCAAGTAAAATTATTATTTATACTAAATACTAAAAAACATTTTGCAGAATTTTTAATGCAAATTAAATATAAATTTAAACGTCTTAAATAAAGAGATGTGAATGACAATAGCATAACATGGTCAATTAGATTAAAACACACTAAACATAAATTTCATTTAGTTTTGAAAAATACATTAATTAATAGTAATAGTGGCTATTTCGCTCTTCGTAAATATGTGTACCATCACCTTTTCAATTGTTGAATGGTCTGAGGATAATCACGAAATACTCTTTCGTTTTAGAGTTTGCGAAATTATCCACAATATGGCAGCATGTCTTTGTTAAGGCAAATTTTTGAGGGATGGATAATTTTGCAAACTCTAAAAAGAAAGAGTATTCCGTGATTACTACAAAGACTACGGTTTTTACTCTTTCATCCAGATGTTCTCAACAATTTTTCTATATATATTATACACAGTGTGGTAGATGATAAACATTTCAATTATCTAATATGAAAGGTTACATAAATTATAAATAGATAATTAATTGGGTCGAATTAATAATGTGTTTATATTCTTTTTTATAAACGGTACAATAAATAACACATCTGTCCTTGGCCTTTCGCCAATTAGGTAAGTTAATATGTTTGCTACAAACATCTATAATGAACAAAAACAATTATATCACATTGCACTATACTACTCAAATTTTTCCCTTTATTTTTTCGCTTTCTATTAAACAATTACAGATTATCTTTTAAAATGATCAAAAATGTGTTTTTGTATATCAATACATAGATATTAAATTTTTAAAGCAAATACAAGCGATGTTTATAATAATCTATATTTGTAAATACTTAAGTAAAAAGTAATTACACATACTAATATATGACAATATGTAAGATAAGATTACACAATTAATCAAACAAATATTTACTTTCAATTGAGATATAGATAAATCATATAAAAATAAGATAGCAAAATATAAAATTAACATAAACAGATTGAAGTATTTAAGAGAAGGCTCGAAGCAAGTAAAATTATTATTTATACTAAATACTAAAAAACATTTTGCAGAATTTTTAATGCAAATTAAATATAAATTTAAACGTCTTAAATAAAGAGATGTGAATGACAATAGCATAACATGGTCAATTAGATTAAAACACACTAAACATAAATTTCATTTAGTTTTGAAAAATACATTAATTAATAGTAATAGTGGCTATTTCGCTCTTCGTAAATATGTGTACCATCACCTTTTCAATTGTTGAATGGTCTGAGGATAATCACGAAATACTCTTTCGTTTTAGAGTTTGCGAAATTATCCACAATATGGCAGCATGTCTTTGTTAAGGCAAATTTTTGAGGGATGGATAATTTTGCAAACTCTAAAAAGAAAGAGTATTCCGTGATTACTACAAAGACTACGGTTTTTACTCTTTCATCCAGATGTTCTCAACAATTTTTCTATATATATTATACCACAAGTGTGGTAGATGATAAACATTTCAATTATCTAATATGAAAGGTTACATATATTAAAAATAGATAATTAATTAGGTCGAATTAATAATGTGTTTATATTCTTTTTTATAAACGGTACAATAAATAACACATCTGTCCTTGGCCTTTCGCCAATTAGGTAAGTTAATATGTTTGCTACAAACATCTATAATGAACAAAAACAATTATATCACATTGCACTATACTACTCAAATTTTTCCCTTTATTTTTTCGCTTTCTATTAAACAATTACAGATTATCTTTTAAAATGATCAAAAATGTGTTTTTGTATATCAATACATAGATATTAAATTTTTAAAGCAAATACAAGCGATGTTTGCGACAAGCGACAGTGACATTAAATTATAAGTGCTTTAACGTTCTCGAGTAAATAGTAAGAATAGTAATTATAATATAAAACAAAGTTTTTTATATTTTTTTGTTGTATTATATAAACATTGTATTTACAGGAATTGTTTTTACATAAATATTTCACATATTTTAAATATTTTATATAGCGCCTTTAACAAAAGAAATCTTTGAATTAGAAATAATAATATTTTAATAGAATTCATGGAAATAAAACTTGTCTATAATCGAAATTCTGCTGGAAATAAACATAATGTCGGATTTCTTCTAAATATAACAATTTATTAAACTACGCGTTACTGCGATAAATATAGTAATTTCCTTTATGTGTTATTCGAATAATAAATTGAATTACAGAAACTCAATTTAAATATATATACTTATCCCGTTTTATGTACTTCCAGAAAGTTTACTATATCTTATTTTACGTTATGACAATTTTAGATGTTATATAAAAAGATATCGGACTGTGTGAAATTGTGGTTGACATAAAATGTACCCCAAGTTCTGGTCCATTTATTTTCAGTAGGTCGTGTAGTCGCGTAATTTTACGGTAGAATATAATTCGCTGGTTATCGATCAAATGTAGATGCTTATCTCTGAAAGCTTGCATAAATTTTACAATATTTCAATGTACGTATAATTTCGTTGAGTTTGCTCCTCTGTAATATATAACATTATTTATGCGATGCTAGGCATTATGATGCAACTTGCTTATTATAGCAGTGATTAAAGTTCTATATTTAAGTTAAATATATACTGCACACACATTTTTTTTTTAATAATTACTGTAAGATTCATTTATTTTTAACATGTACGAGTTTTAACAAAAATTTTCAAATTCGGCAAATATGGTTATAATAAATAAATAAATAAATATTGTTTATACAAAACAAGAATCAATATAATAATATCTAAAATATTTAGAAAAACATATTTAGGTTTATATAAAGAATAACCCAATTGAGCTGCATCTTTTCAGAACGCTGTATTTTTTTTTATTTGGAACTGAATTTCATTGAACCACAAATTATATAAAATAAACGTAGAGAAAAAGATCAAATATTATAAAAATCTTCCACCGTTCACGTAGTTTGTCAAATTATAGAAAAACCTAAAGTTTATTATGGAAACCGAAGTTTTGTCCTTCTCTATGACATTAGTCCAAAATAGTTCATTAGGAGATCAAGTTATCCATATTCATTTAAATATATACTAAACTAACTTAGATGATTCATCTTTATCAGTTTTTTTCTTTATTTAGTAATGAGTATGGAAGCACGCATGATTGCTTATTAAAAATACAAACATTTAAAATTTGTGACCGCCAAAGTAAAATTTTCCTTGGTAACACTAACTGTGTATTTTTTTTCCACATCACTAACGCAGGGTTAATAACTTTAATGATTAAGTTGGATATTTGTGTTACAATATAAAATATACTACAACAATACTTGTGCGGATTGTGCGGCTCCGATCAAGCCGGTTTGAAAATTTTAGTTGAGACAATATAAATAAATTTAAAAAAATGAGTATACAAAATTATATTTTATTCATAAAAGATCGTTTATTTCTTTTCTGTATACAGTCAAGTCCATTTTTGCACTTTGTATGTGTACAGTTCCTCAATTAGTCCGGTTTCAAACAGTCCGGGATATTGACAAAACGATTACCAGCACCATAGAATGTATTGTTCCATAGAATATGTAAAGTAACGAGTATCTGTCTGATAGTTACTATCTTATAAGATTAACTTCAAAACTATTGTATCTCTCTTATATATGATGTTCTTTTATCATAACATTGATTTTTTCGCATTTAAAGTTTTAAGTTTCTGAAATATTAGTGACTAAAATAATAAAATCATTAATATATCCAACATATTGTCGAAGCCACATACTCAATTGATTTAATGCACAAATATGTAACGTACATGTTTTTTAAAATTTTTATTATGTTTTATTCTGTTGGACTATAAAAATAATTATAAATAATAAATTAAGAAATATGTAGGAAAACTTTCTACGTTATTACATAATTTAATACTTTTTATATAATAATTATTGAAACAGTTTCATGAATATTTTTTTTACTAATTCCAATAAATTAAAACGTAAAATAAATAATTTGTTACAATTATATAACTTTTTTTTATATCATAAACATGTTATTGGGAATAATGAAAATGTATTTTAATTAAATAGTAAATATATTTAAGTAAAAGTAAAATATATAAGTATAAAAATAGTCTAAACGTATTTCAATCAATAGAAAACCCACACCAACAAAATGCACAAACAAAACACACAATTATTCCTGCCGTAGATTCAGTACTTCATTTTATCAAATACTCCTTCCTCTGCTGCTCTAGAAGACTTTCCAAATATTTGCATTTCTCTTTCAATGCCCCATGATCCCGACTCAATTCGCAAAACATCTCATCTTTCCTAGCAACAGCAACTTTTACCCTGCAAAAAATATTTTTTTTATTCAATTACTAATTAATTTATATTGAATTTAACTAGTAATCATCAATTAATAATGGTTTTAATAATTGTCATAATGCTTTTACTGAAAATAATGAAAATGTAGTATTATTATATAATAATTAAACTGCATTTTCTTCTTTTTGAAATAATTTCGTAAAGCGCTATTTTGTTGAGTAAGAACACATTTTTCATAAAACAAATTTGTGTACGTTCGTAATACTTTTAACAAGGAAATGGAATTCCTAAATTTTTAATAAGGGGAAAAATAAAAATTACGTTTTAAAAATTAACAATTCAACTAAGCAGCTTAAATGAATGAATAATAATTACCAGAGGAAATTAAAATTTAAATATGTTTTTTTGCCAACGTAAATTGGACATACAAAATCCATAAATATTTTCTAAAAAAGCAATTACTTAAATTGAGAACAGAATTCAGGTTTCACATTTACAAACTTTCGCAAACTCCAATTTTGTACATTTAGAAAATATTTTTCAATTAATCTTTTAGTAAATGAGATTTCGTAAATTGAGAACTTATTTGTCTTAAACTCAATTGATTTACTTTAGAACTTTTCACTTTGAAATAAAATTTATTAAAAATAGAGTACTTTCGTAACAAATAAAAATTGCTTTTGACCAATTCAAGTAAGCAGCATGAATTAATGAATTCTAATTACCAAAGGAAATTAATATTCAAATTTGTTTTTTTTTGTCAACGTAACAAAAAGAATACGATAATTAACATGAAGTTTTCGTTTCGCGAAATTTAACTTTCTTTAATTTCACCCGATCCCCACTTTTATAATAATCTCGGCAATACCTGGCATATACTTGCTGAAGCTCTGCGTCTCTGTCATTCTTAATTCTTTCTATTTCCTGCTGCAAACTGGAAATCTCGCCCCTCATTTCCTCCCGCAGACCTTCGCGCATTGTGCTTTTTTCGCTACACAATTTCTCATACAACTGTAAAAAAAGAGATAGAAAAATAAAATGGGATTACATGAAAAGAAATAGAATTAACATCGTTCTCTTTTTCGTTGCTGTTAGTATTCTCAAGTGTGCTGAGAACAGGATATTCAATTACTCTTACTAAATTGACTGGTAACAGGAAACAAAATACTTACATCCTGGATATCAACCAGTCGAATTTCCAAGTGTTTCACGTTGCCTTTCAAGCCGATAACGATATCCTCTGTTTCTAACAGTTTTCCTTTGGTTTCCGCGTATTTAGCTTTTGACTCGGCCTCTGACGATTCTAGATCTCCAATCTCCTTCTCAAACTTTTCCTTCAACCTTCTAAAATATAGAAGAATGTTGTTCAGAACGGATATTACAAATATAAGGAACAGTTTCCGAATTAGGACCGGCTCCTAGATTGAACCACTATTACAACTTAAACTATATACAGAATTTGTATCAAATAGCAAATTATGTCATTATATTCCTAGTAATACATTTCCATATTTGAGTGAAATGTTAATATATGAAATATTTGAAAAAATTGACTACAAGTTAAGAACATTATTGGACCGGTATAATTTCGTTAACTTGTATTCAATTTTTAGAAGAAAAACCAGAAGGTTGTTGTAATAACACGTATTTCCTGTAAATACAAATTAATTACAGAAAAAAATAATTTTATTTTAAACTTAACAGCCGAAAATTAGCATATTTGTATCTGCAAATAGTAAAAAGTACTTTTGCTTCAATTATACTAATAAAAGTTCCATCTTGGAAAACTAGTTGCTTTGATTAGACCCAGAGCGTATATTTCATTTTCATTCTGAGTAGATTTTTTTAAATAAATTATATTATTTTGAATTTATAAATAGTAAAAATGTGATATTTTTACTTTTTCTTTTTTTTTATTAAAAATGGATCAAATTCGGCTACGTTTCCTTATTTCCCCATCAAATTATTGATGAAAACTCAATTTTACCTGATCCTATTCTCCGTTGCAATTTCCAATTGGTTTCTATTGTCACTTGCCTCCGCTTCCAGCCGCTCAATAACAGCCTCGATCTCTTTATCCCGTTCCCTCCTGCAATTCTCCCGAATACTTTGCTCCCTATTAGCTATCTGACATTCCTGCTGTTTCCTTAAGTTACTCCTCCAAGTTTCCATCTCCATCTCGGTCGTCTCCTTCAGCATCTTCACTTCTCCTTCGTGCCTTCTAATCACTCCCTTGTCAATTAACAACGTAATTAATAAATACACCACTCAACTTGTTAAATATATTTACTTGTAATTTATCTTCGTACTCTTCTTTTGTTTGTTTAATGGCCCTTTCCTTTTCGGTAACGGCAGCTGCCTCCCTCGCTTCGCATTCCTTCAACCTGTTTGAGTGCTCATGGAGTAATCTTTTTCTTTGCTCCTGATAACCTTTCTCCTCCGACTCGACCAATGATTCGTATCTCAATCGAATTACTTCTCGTTCGTGGGCCAATGCTTTCTCCCTTTCTTCAGTAAGTTGTTGTCTCAATACTTCACACTGCTGCTGCATTTTTCTTGCGTTCTTCAGTTCAATGTCTTCGATCTCGCGTTTATGCAATGATCGTAAATCTGCTAATTCTTGCTGATGTCGTACAGTCATTGATTGCAATTCAGGCTCGATACTTTTTACAGTCATTTCCTACAATTTACAATAGTTGAAATAATAGATCATCAAAAACTGAATGAATATGCAAATCCTCGTGATTAAATCATAATATTATAATATCTTTTCTACTAAAAAAATATTTAATCTTGACTTATAAATTATTAATACAAAATATAATTACCTTAATTTTTTGAGTTTTTGAATCCAACCATCTTTCTCTTCTGATCTTCTCCCCAGCCACTTGCATTTCCTTCACCTTCTGCAACTCAACTTGATGTCTATGTTCAGCAGCTCTCATATTTGCCCCAAATTTATCTTCCAAAGCCTTCATTTCGCGCACCAAGCTTTCACATTTTTCATTCAAAGACTTTTTATCAACGATCAATTGATCAATAAATTTTTGATGCCTCCTTATAATACCATCGGTTTCATCCTTTTGAGTCTTAAGCTTATCCTTTATAAGTGTATCAGTCTGTTTAGTAGTTTTAATAGCTTGCTCTCTGACCGCTGACAATTCATCTTGAAGCATCTTAATTGAGGATGACTTTTCCTTCAATCTTAAATTCAAGTCTATTATTTGATTCGATAATTCTTCTGAATTAAGGAGCAATAAATCATCTGCCCTAAAATATACAATATTTTAAATCGTATACAGTTACATAATAATAAAGGTTACTTTGGGATTGTGTCTAATCTTATACCGTCGATCATCTCCGTTGCCAAAGATAATCTATGCTTGGCGTTGCATATTGAATCTGAGCTGCTTTTCTCAACTTCATCCAGGAAGCATAGGATATCCCTGCATGATTTATAGTTATAAAATATTTTAATATAATATTGTAAATTACTCACTTAAAATTCGCAGATTTTCCACTCTGCTTCACTTGATTTGGAACCTCATCAATTTTAGAAGCTTGTACTTTTTCTAACGGTTTTATGTTCACAGTGTTGATGGTTGCACTTAATTCCTCAGTTAATATATTCTTCATACATTCTATATTACTTTCTAAAAGAAACAAAAAAGTTATGATAAATAAATAATTAATTACGTAAATAACAAATCTTACGAGATTTTTTACTTTCAGCTTCCAGCACTTCCAAAATATCAGCAATCTCATCATAACTTGAAGCATCATCCTTTTCCGATGTTCCAACCGAATCCTCCGACTCACTTGTTTGAGCAACCCAAGTCTCGGATTCCTTACCATCATCCCTCTCATTTTCAAAATCAACTTCGCTTCTAACTAAAGTCGAAATAAATTTTACTTTCGGCTCTTTCTTCTTACATTGTTTAACCTTAGACTTTCCACTTGCTTCGAAATTAAGTGTCTTATCACTTTCTCCGACAAAACGAACGAAACTCAACTCATTTTTCTTTTTTTTTATCCTTTCGATTGCTTTCACATCATCGGACTTGCAATTCTCTTGCTTTTTATGTTTCAAAATATTATCCTTGATTTCAGATTGGTAATCAGATTTTGCACTTCTCGGTGTGAATTTACTACCGCAATCCTTTTCAGCTTTTGTTTTAATATTCATGCATTCTTGTCGCGCGCTTATGTTTTTAATCGCTTTATCCTTTGATCCTATTTTTGAAAGACCGCCGTGATCTGATGTATTCAGTGATTCTTTGTCGTTCTCAGGGCTACAAATGCCCGAATCTTCAGAATAATTTACATTTTCTGGAGAGAAATTAGTAACAATATTACTTGCTATATTACTTTTGGAGTAATCTATTCCGCCAGTATTAAATTTTACTGTAAATCCAGTAGAATATTTTGGACTATTTTTTGAAACAATGCTTTCATCTTCATAGTAATCAATAATACCCTCAATATTTTCTAACTTTAGTTTATCCAAAATAGCATCTGTTCTTTGTTCAGCAATGAGGCTTTCATCTAACCAATTATGGTACTTAGAGGGCTCTTGTCCATTATATTCTTCCAGTGTTACCTTTTTTGGTGGAATTGGTGGTTTCGATTTTAAACCTGGTTGTAGATCCGATGAAGATGGTTTCGTATTTTTTATTCTGTGGACATGTTTCATACCATCCCTCCAAGATACAATAGGTTCGGATATCAACGAACGCAACAACTCGGTGGATGGTAAATCTTTATCTATTTCTGTAAAGTAAATTATGTTAATACATGTAAAAATTTATAAAGTTTAGATTGTTCGATACCTGAAATACTTTCCAAACTCGAATTAGAGCTCAATTTATTTTCGCATTCTCTCGCATTGTCTGCTGAATAGGGTCGATGGGATCTTATCGTTTCGTAATCTCTCTGAAAAATTGGAAATTTCACATCAATTTGCCGCTCGTTTGATTGACATATTATTCTCCGTACCTTGTCTTCGTAGAGAGTCAAATTGGGGACGGCTGAGAGAGGCCTCGAAGGGCCTTGAACCAAGTAGGCAGATTTAGATGAGGCGGAGCTCCCTCGCGACGAAGGCCTCGACTCCAACCTGATCTAATACAAAGCAGGGCGACCATTAATCTCGTATAAAAATTGGTGATTAATCGTTTGAAATCTTTTATTAATATGGATATGCCGCAAAAATCAATCATTTGAAGGGAAAGTAATTAATTTTGGTACGGCTTTTCTCTTGTTCGGCCTTCCTTACTTTATCTCCTTGTAATCTTAAATCGATGTCGAGAGTGGGATCCTGCCTCATGACGTCTGGCATAATTATGAATTTTTGATGATAATCACTACGAATGAGAAAGGGTGCTCCAGCCAAATTGAAAACTGATCAAACTGACATCGTTTGCGCGACAATACAAACAAAGCGCCCCGCGTGCATTTGTTCGATATTCCTCGCCCCTACCATAGCCGTTACCAAGGATACTTCATCAAAACTGGGCAGCTTATTTTATTTTCAATTTTGTTTACCACAAGCATTTGAACAATGTTTGAATTACAATATATACAGTTAAAAATGTGTTTTATAAAATTTATTTTTCAATTATCATCAATTCCTGAAATTCATTTAATACACACTTAACTTTTTTTAATATATATAATTTGTTATATTTTAAATATTTTACATATGTTTTATCGAAATCCCGACGTTCGAAATAGTCGGAATTTCGATTGCCATTGAAGAATATGCGCTATGCAAATTCAGCTCAATAAATGAATAGTACTTACTTAACAAACTTTTGATAATACGTACATTGTTATTTACATCCTTCTGACCGAACTCACGTACAAATATCCGAAAGAACGTACATTGATATCAATCGAGCATTAACATAATATTTTTACTTCTATTGTCATATTTATGTGCATTAATTTATATATATATATATAATGACAGATAATTGTCTTGTCATTTTCTGACAAATATATATTGCTCCCTCTGTCCAAAAATATGGTATACATTTGAATATTTTTTTGCGAAAAAATCAAATAAAACTAAAATTAAATGTAAAAAACTATTAAATTCATTTTATTATCACGATATAACTAAATACAAATAATTTTAGTGTAATCCAAATTTAGTTAAAGTTAGATTTAGCTTTGTTTAATGCTTCTTCTGAACATATATATTTTTCAGTAAATTGACCCCCACGACGAAGTTTTACCTTATTTATATGAGAAATTTTATTGGAATTTTACCATCCTGTTAACTTTTTTACCATCCTTTATACTTTTCTTAAAAAAAATAATTTTTGGTCTTCAAATACCAACTTAACTCAAAAGCAACGACTTTCAAATATGTTAGGTTATTTAGCTATCAATGTAAATAATACCAATATAATGAGTATTGACTGTTGCTGTCGAAACACTAGATAATCTAAGATTTCAAATGTATACCATATTTTCTGACATTATAGATTCAAGAGAAAAATTATAAAACTATTGTAAATTATATTATAAGATTGAATTACAAATAATCTAATAATTAATCACAAGTAAACATATCTATTTTTTCTTATTTGATAGAATCGTATTAACTGAAATAAACAGTTATAACCAATATTTTTTTATAATTATATTAATTATTATAAAAATTATTTATTTATTGCCGCTTTATATTTATTACAAAATTATCTAAGTACATTTAAATGAAAACAATATTGTTAGTTAACTTTATGAGACAATTTATGTTCACGGGCGGAAAGACCTCGGTCGTTAGCCCTTTGGTCAGCCTATTAATATATAAAATAAATAAATTATTATTAATTGTAAAAAATAAATAATAATTTGAATATTTACAAAATAATTTAATTTCATTGTATTTGTAATATTATGAGTACTTCTTACAAAAAATTCTAATTAAAATAGACCCATATCTCATTTTACGGCCTAGATACATTCCGGAAAAGTTGACCGTAGAGCCATATAACAAATCAATTATTTTGATATAAACATTTATTTAGATTTATTTTTGGCCGTTTAACAAAATATGCTGGGCCGTAAATCGAAAAAGTGCCAGAATTAAAGAAACCCGTATAAAGAACGTGTACTTTAATTTTGCATATACTAAAATTATATAGTATAGACATTATCTAAATAAAATTTCAGGAATATTTTCTATTTTGTCATTGTTGTATACAAGAAACCAGCATGGAAAAATACGAAAAAAAATCTAATATTTATTATCATTATCGAAATAAATAACTGCTGTGACGATATCATCATTGTTATATATTTACAGAATGTGTATACTTGAAATATTAATAATTCTACTACAATTGTTACAAATTATTCATTAAAAGAATGACTATTTTGTGGCAAGGACTATTTTTTTAATATTAGAATATGATTGAACTTATGTAGTTAATAATTATATAAGAAAAGTAATAATATAAAGTTATTTTATACGAAAGTGTTATAAATAAAACAAGAAATAACATTCCTTTTCTTAAACCTTCAACATTTATTTTTTTTGTCATTTTCTTTATTGCCGACCTATATCTAAATATTTATCATACATTAATTTACAGATTCGTTTTAGCAATTTATATTTGTTCCAAATTCAGCCGGAGTGAGCAGCTGAGTGTTTGTTAAGAGGGAACAGCTTCGCCCATTCGGCGTACCTTTTCTCATTCAGGTTCTCATGCATGACCATCTTATTCCCAATATCCATATACTTCTTGTTCTTCGTGGTATAAGGCTCCCACTTTACATTATCTAAGATATCAGTGACTGTTGGTATTGGTTTGCTACAAAAATACATTATTAACAAAACAATATAATAAAATATTAAAAGAAACATACCCAGAAGTAACGAAATTTCCCCAAATCATAACCATCTTCTGTAAATTCGTCGTTTCCGGATCGTTTTCTTTGAAATCAGTAAATTTGTTGTTGTGGAACAAATAAATTAAATCATCACCATGCACAACTCCTACAAAAAGACATATTGATTATAGATTAAATTAATTAATTAAACGTACCATATGGAGAAGTGTTGTTGGTATCAGGTAAATAATAATTACTTAACTTTCCTTTAAAGTTAAATTTGTAATAATATACTGATTCGTTAACTTTTTCTGATAAAATATTTGCGGCTCTGTTAACTGCAAAACCTGCAAGGGCATCCGAGTATATCTGATAAAAAAAATAGAAGTAAATTCTCATAAGTGCAAAAAAAAAAGATTATATTTACTTCGGCGATTTTAGGTAAAGTCGTGTTATCAATTTTCCCGCTTTCCCAGTAAAAGGTCCTCAGTGCTTTCGAAATCACCTTAGAATTGTCGGTATCTCTTTCGTAAATGAAGGAAATAGGCGCCATTTTTTCGAAGTTTTTGTCGTATTCTTGCAATAACGTTTCATTCAAGATAACATCTAAAAAATATCAACGTTTAATGTTATTTCAATTATGTTCATTTTGTAATTACTGAAAGCTTTGAATCCAAATTCATCATTAGTTTGTGCAATCATTATTGGCACATTCGCAACTTGTCCATGGTTGAGCAGACTTAGTGGATGCATAGTCAAAAAGCGATTTTGCCCAAAATCTTGTTCGATTGTTGGAAGCCACGTATAATGAGGATCTTTTACAATTTCCTAAAATAACAACAACTTATATTTTATGAAATTCATTTTTATCATTAAATTTTACTCTTAATTCGGAATTGGTTGCAGCAAGATCCTTGGCAGGTTTCTCTTTCAGACATTTCATCATATCTGCGTTATTCTCAACGGCACAACTCAACTTTTTTGCAACCTTCTTAACTAAATTGAGCTGATTATTAAGAATGGGAATGTTGCCATACGCTGAGCCACTTGCGATAATCGCTTTGTGATATAAACCTTAATACAAAAATAAAATAGTTATTATTAAGATCATAGAAAAATGATTTATATAACCTTTAGATAATGGTGAAACTAAATGTAATGAAACGCTGAAACCACCTGATCCTGAACCAGCAATTGTGACACTATCCGGATTTCCACCAAATGCAGCAATGTTTGCTTTCACCCATTTTAGAGCTTCCAGTTGATCCAATAAGCCGTAATTACCAGTCGCTTCTTTATCTCCTGTATTGATGAATCCGAATATACCAAGCCTATAGTTTGCCGTGACCAAAACTAAATCCTGGTCAAGCAGATATTGGGGACCTAACAAACTGCTTATGGATGATTGATCAGTGAAATCACCTGCATGGAAGAATACCAACACAGGTTTTTTCGGACTATCGTTCCCTTTAGGCACCTTTAAATAGTTATTTCGTTATAATTATAGTATTATTAATAAGAGTAATATTATACTTTAGGACTGTAGACGTTAAGGAGTAGACAATCTTCTCCCGAATTTGGAATATCTGGTTGGGAACAGGCGATTCCGTCTTGAGTAGCATTATAAACGCCTTCCCATTTTTCAGGATCAACCGGAGGCTTAAATCTCAGCTCATCTAAAGGAGCCTTGGCGTATCGGATTCCCCTGAATGCAATGAGATATTTTCCTTCTCTTGAGGTCATACTCGCACCTTGGATGTCCCCAAGGGGAGTAGAAATCGTGGGATAAGCAGCATGTAAACTGGTCGTTTTACTCACGGGCTTTCCACAAGAAAGTCCAATTAGTAACACCAACGTCAACTCCCTAATCATTTTCACTATTTCGAAGAATTATCAACTATTTATTTATTATTATTATAAGCTAACTTTAACATTTGCATAACGCAACTGACGTAGATTGAGCTTTGCTACAATCCTTTTATACCTTTATGCTAAATTGATGTTAAAGTGAATAATTTATTGTTGTAAATAATTGGGGGGGAATCGTAAGTGGATTATGTGCGCTCCAGAACTTTCCTATACAAATTGTTATGGCCATTGGCCAATTGTGTAACGGTCTCTTCTTTTTCGTTTGCGTTTGTCCACTTTCAATAGGATAAGCGGTGATCTTTTGTTGCAAAACGCTGAAACATCAAATTCATGAAATTGCTGCAAATAAATAATGAATCTTTGCTGTCTCTCTCGCCCTCGGTGTATACAAATACTTGTTCAGAAATATTCCGTTTGTCTGCGTTGTCTGCTCAAAAGGAAATTAATAATGCCGAGGACGTGATTGCAGCTCCAACCATTGTCAAGACAATTTTCTAATTTGGAATAACACCAAATGTCCCCACATTTGTATTTTCTACTGCGAATGATTTATCACCACGATACGACAGCAAAAATGTCCGCACGAAGGATGATTTACTACACAATATCAGTTAATTAAAATACATTGAGATCAATAAACGTAGGAAATTAATCTATTTTAACTCAATTTTAACAACACAACTATGTAATAATAATATGCATTATATATATAAAACATTTATAAATTGATATGTAATCATATTTATTGTAACAATCCCGTATAAACAAATAAAAAACATATCTAAATAAAAAAACAATTATTTGTTATAAATGTCTAGACTCTGGAGGTCTTTCTGATCTGCTTATAAATATATATATATATATTTTATAGATAATAAAACCTTACTTATAAATTAAAAATGCATAATGATATTGACCCTATTTTAATTTAACCAAGAAATTACAGATGGAGAAAAGACTGCGGTCAATAGCCCTTTGCATGGAAATATGTATAATACATTTTATTTATAATTTATTCATTAGTTTATTGTATTCAAAACCAATTTTCAAACAAATATACTTGAAATTGAATATAATATGTTTATAAGTAAAAATCGCATATAGGTAAACTTTAAAAAAATATTGTAAATAATAAATTAATGTTCAAAAAGTAAATATATGGTAAACAATAAATTAAATATTATCTCTACTATAAGTTAAATATGTATTTTAATTGATAAATAATATGTGTAGAATTAATGTATCTTCTTAGTATAATTAATTCTGCTGCGTGATATAAAAGTTCATAAATATATTGGCATTATGTTTTCATATATGCATTTGATTATACTTGATTGTATTAGTGGTCCTATAGACTATATGTTAAATACAGTCAATCCTATAACACTATTGATACCACGTTTTAAGAAGTCAGCTTAAAACTAATGCATTTCCCGAATCTAGTCCTCGTTTATATCATTCAAATTGAAATTGTTGATGGTTAATATCTCAAAATTATTCGCCGCTTAAAATATTAAAACATATTTCTGTGTTTTAATATTTCTACATTAGGGAGTCAAAATTTGATCGCGTTAAGGCTTGACTGCATATTGGTATCACGGTACCAACTGTAGTCAAAAGAACGTAAACGAGGGTTTACTGTATACATTTTCATTTTTTTTATAATATTTATAATTAATAGAATTTATAATGCTACAATATTTAATATAGGTAAAAAAGCAGTTATGAATTTAATTTCTATTCAAGAAAATTTTCTTCCCAAAAATGTCACTAATTTTAAAATTGCCGCGCTTTATATTGTCACTTTAGTATGACACGCTGCTCACCAATGCTTTCTATTCCTGTCAGCCACATGCGAGTTGTCAGGCAATTTCATAACACATTTTTGATATTAATTCAAAAATTACAAAAGTAAACATTATAATTTATAGGTGAAGTGAGAACAAGTGATTCAAGATGAGTACGATACTAGAGAAAATTGCGACTATCGAAAGCGAAGTAAGTTTTTGATCATATTTTGTGTCGCCGATTATGGCTTAACCTATAATTTTGTAGATGGCAAGGACCCAAAGGAATAAAGCCACAGCTGGCCATTTGGGTTTACTGAAAGCTCGGTTGGCTAAGCTCAGACGAGAGCTCATCACCCCCAAAGGGGGTGGCGGTGGTACTGGAGAGGGTTTTGATGTAGCCAAAACTGGTGATGCCCGAGTAGGATTTGTGGGTTTCCCATCTGTAGGAAAATCAACTCTGCTGAGTACTTTAGCTGGTGTATACTCTGAAGTAGCAGCATACGAGTTTACCACTTTGACAACCGTCCCTGGGTGTATTAAATATAAGGGTGCTAAAATCCAGGTTTTTTTGTTATTCTAATAGTACATGAGATGTTTTTACTAATGCTATTATTTTAGCTGCTGGATTTGCCTGGTATCATTGAGGGTGCTAAAGATGGTAAAGGTAGAGGTAGACAGGTAATTGCTGTTGCAAGAACCTGTAGTTTAATTTTTATGGTCTTGGATGTTTTAAAACCACTTGGACATAAGAAACTCATAGAGCATGAGTTGGAAGGATTTGGCTTGAGATTGAACAAGCAGCCACCAAACATCAATTTCAGGAAAAAGGATAAAGGAGGTATCAATTTGAACGTCATGGTACCACAATCTGAATTGGACTTGGATACTGTTAAAAGCATTCTGTCTGAATACAAAATTCACAATGCTGACATTACTTTGCGTTACGATGCTACCAGCGATGACTTGATTGACGTAATTGAAGGAAATCGTATTTACGTCCCATGCATTTATCTACTGAACAAGATCGGTATGTGGTTAAATTATTAATTACCATATATATCAATTTTAATTCAAACTTTTTCAGATCAAATTAGTATCGAAGAACTGGATGTTATTTATCAAATCCCTCATTGTGTACCGATTTCCGCTCATCATAGATGGAACTTTGATGATTTGCTTGAAAAGATGTGGGACTATTTGAAACTTGTTAGAATTTACACTAAGCCTAAAGGACAACTTCCTGACTACAATTCACCAATTGTCTTGCATTCTGAACACACCAGCATCGAAGATTTCTGCAACAAACTGCACAGAACCATTGCGAAAGAATTCAAATATGCCCTTGTATGGGGTACATCGGTAAAACATCAACCTCAGAAGGTTGGTAAAGATCACCTCTTGTGCGACGAAGATGTCGTCCAGATCGTCAAGAAGGTGTGATAGTAAAACGCGCGGATTTGGGATTGAATTTTGTATTTTATAATTCTAAATGAATTTAAGCTCATGTCATTGATTTCAAACTAATGTTATTATTACATAAATAAAATCAATTTTAAGATTCATACTTTTTAATAAAGTAGACATTTGTTTAACCTTCTCACATGCAATTTAATAATATACTTTTATAAAAAATGTATTGAGTTACGAAAAAAATGAAATATAATTTATCATTCTGTAAAGAAATAAAGAATGTAATGAACCTGAGGGCTCAGGGCTAAAAATTACAATCAAAATTATGAAGTTTTATAATAAATATTTGATCGCCTTGAAACATTCATTGAATTCTATAGAAATATTTATATGCTCTGAAATTATTTATATGAATATAAACTACAAAGAAGTTTGACGCTACATTTTATACCAAATGGCAACACTTGCATTTGTCGCGCTTAAATAAAAGGACATATTTATCTAAATATTTTGTAATTAAGCTTATTTAAATAATACAGTAGAAATTATATTTGCAAGTATAGTCCGCTTTAAACAAAGATAGTCGAAGATGGTTAATATATACAAAAATACACATAATAAGTGTGCACAGGACTTCTCTTCTCATTTTGTGAGCCATTTTGTTAAGCGAGGTTCCTCTGTACTTTGTTTAGTTTTGCAATATCTTTCATGTCTTTAAGTATTGAAGTATTTTTTAATTTGTGGACTCATTTTGATTTGAGATCATTATTTTTCATTCTTCTCAATATACTATTTATAAAGACAAGAAGACTGATAATAGAATGTAAGATCAAACAGTGACAGTCACGAATCTCTTCAAATTAAGACACAAAATATCTTCTGACCACATACAAAGTTGAGTGGTGTCAATCCGACAGAAGTGACAAGAAGTTTAAACCACATTAAATGTCAAATGCATCAAGAAGAATCAAAAAACCTTATTTCTGTGCTCCATTCATAATCACAAGTCTCGTAGAATCAACCAACCACTACAAATATGAACTAATCCTCAAATGTTTTAATAAAATCATCAAAGATCTCCCTTTGAGCAGTATCGCCGTACATAGTATAAGGTAAAAGAGAAAATACTTTGAACGGGAATATATGCAGAAAACTGGGCGGCAAATTTTGATAAATGTACATATATTTTTTAAGCAAGGGGTGGCAAATGCTTGTTTTGTCAAAGGCGGCATAAATCATAGTCATCTATAAATCACCCCATCCAGTAATTCTGGATTTCAATTGAGGAGGCGTAATAATCTTGAATTGAAATAATCCTTGAAGAAAGGGAGATGTACAAAACAAATTAATGTGTAGTGTAACACTTTCATATACTCAATTTTGTTTCCCCTCCTTCATAAGAAAAGGGCGCCAAATATCTTAGGATGGCTCTGTTAGTGATGAAAATTACACTCGGTCCTCTTTTTATGCATACTCTATTTATGCGGTTTTGAAGTCATGCGGTTTTTATTTTAAGAAGCATTTTTTTTTTAATTTCTATTTTAGGCCATATTGACACGTTTTGACACAAATTGACAAACCATTTCATCGATAATAAAAAAGATGATACTTCTGAACGAGCATTCAAGTTTCAATGCGAGCTTCAGAATTGCATTTCTGCTTATCAGGAATTGTACAAAAAAAATAGCAAAGCCATCGCAAAGTTTAATCACTGATTATCTGATTATATTATATTGTCAAAGGTAAAAAATCACATTCTAGTGATGAAAGTGATTTCGAACCAGTTCGCAAATTGTGCCGAACACTCTCCTATAGCGACGATAATTTTAAAGAAAAAAATGTGAAGAAAGATTAACTTTCATAAAAAATTTCTATATTTTTTTTTGTAAAATTTTTCCGTATAAATTTATAAGGAATATGTTAAGATTATATTTTTCGGAAATTTAATAAACTTGTCTATGATTGTTTACGTTTTTATAAAATTATGAATAAACATTTCAGAAAGAATATAGTAAGACTAATTATTTTTCTGAAATTTAATATTGTAACTCATTGATTTAGTTTTATGCGGTTTTAAAAAAATATGGAACGTATCCTTTAATTGTATACGTGTGTCTAGTCCTTTTTTGTGCGATTTATTTTTATGCGTTTTCCTGTGGAACGTATCTACCGCATAAAAAGAGAACCAAGTGTATGTGTCTAACTTGGTCTAACTAGAGAGGAGGGCACTTTCTAACATTGCTGGTTCGACTGGGTTCGACTAATCTGCACGAAGTGTGGAGAAATATTGCCAAGACAAGGGTTACCCTAACCACGATTGAACGAAAGCCAAACAATTATATGAACTGTAACTTTGATATAGAAATAAATGAAAATGTAGGACTATTGTTATTAAGAAATTTATATATGATTATTAAATTAATGTAATGCCTGTGCAGTGAATACTGATAAAAAAAAATTATAAATGTTGGCATCAAAACTTAATACTTTGTACCAAATTTGTTATTATAATATCTTTAAAATTAGAAAGTAATGTATGTAATGTATTTTCTAATATAATATATTTCTTGCATAATATACTTTAATAGAAAGTAATGTTATGTCATTGAAATGGAAATTAAGTTTTGAACATTCTGAATTACATAGATAAATATTTTGGTAATTTAGTTGTAGTTCATGAAAAATCTTAAGGAGGTTACAGATGTCGCTGCGAGCGCACCTAGAGCGTCGCAACAAAAAGGTGGACGCCATATTGACGTCTCCATTGGTTTTAGTAATACGTGAAGGTTTTTTTTTTATAGCAGCAAAAGTAATCTGGAAATTTTACGTTTTACGCACTTCCCGCAATACATTCAAATGCTATACCCGTGTCTGTGATTCTTTTAGTGAGATATAGTAAATAATAGTTGAAGATGGGACGCAAAAAGAAGAAGCAATCAAAGCCCTGGTGCTGGTATCCTTTTTTTTTTCATAATGTAACCCCAAATTTGTTTTCCAACTGAACTGTGTTTTTGCTTTGCCTACGTTCTGCTAACCCACTACTCCAAGTTTATATTTAGTATGTGTAGACTATTTTTAGACAAGTTTTCCTTAACTAGACCAGGTACTGCAATCGCGAGTTTGAAGATGAAAAGATCCTCATACAACATCAGAAAGCCAAACACTTCAAGTGCCACATTTGTCATAAGAAATTATACACAGGGCCTGGACTCTCGATACATTGCATGCAAGTACACAAAGAAGCCATTGACAAGGTTCCTAACTCATTACCAAACAGATCCAACATCGAAATTGAAATTTATGGAATGGAAGGTAATACATTTTAACATAAACAACTTACAACACACCTTTTTTTGAAGGTTTGAGGTTATGTTCATTATCTAGTAGTTAAGTGTTAATAGTAATGCAAGTATGATTTACAGTAGTTTATATTTGTAATGTGTTATCTCTACAATATATCTTAATTAAATATATATAAATTTTGGTTTAGACCAGGTTCTATAAATCTGTATTAACATATTCGAATATATATAAATTAAAACTTGTTAAAGGTATTCCACAAGCGGATCTGAAAGAGCATGAACGTCAAAAGGCTGGAAGTAGGCCAAGTGGATCAGATGATGAAGAGGATGATGAGCCTGCTGCAAAGAAACCTAAACCAGAAGGGCTTTTAGGCACAGCTCCAGGTGTTATGCCAGGGATGCCTATGATGCAGGGCATGATGCCTCCACACATGCAGGGAATGCCACCAGGCATGCAAATGGGGCATATGATGGCAATGGGTCCAATGGGACCACATTTTATGCATCATGGGTAAGATGAAATTACTTCAGTGGAAAAAATCATATTAATATTATATCATGTTACAGAATGCCAATGATGCCTCCTCATATGGCTATGATGCAACAGCAAGGTGGTCCACCAAAGCCTTTATTCCCAAGTGCTGTGCCATCTTCATCACCAAGCAGTGCAGTAGTGGGTGCTGATTTTAAACCAATTACATCAGGTAAATAAAATCATAATATTTCATTATATTATATTTTAATACATTTTCTGATTGAAGGTGCAACAATTAGTGCTCCTCCCACTACAAACAATCTGAGTGCTTCAAGCAGTACAAGCTCAGCCCCAGATACTTCAAAAGTGAACACAATTACGACAACAAGTGCTGCTAGTAAAATTATTCACCCAGCGGAAGACATTTCTTTGGAGGAGATCCGCGCGAGGCATCATAAGTATAAGAAGTCAATACCTACAAAAGTTGAGCGAGAATCTCCGCATACACAAAGTACCAGCTCAGTAGCATCTGATGTAATATTACCTTTGATTACACCTTAATTTATATATAAGTTAATGTTTATTTTTATATATTTTTAGTTGGCGATGGCTGTTTCTGCGGCACATCAAGCTGCTGTCAGGCAACAGGATATTATACACCAGGCGCAAGCTGCAATGATGCAAAGGTTTCCACCAATGAGACCACCGATAAGCATTGCAGGAACGCCCGTATCAAGTATGTCGCTTGTTGCACCAATGCGACCGATGGCTATTCCAGGCCCGCCCACGTTACTAGGTGGACCCATCATGCGACCACCAATGGGAATGCCTCCAGGTAACATGCCTTACTAACACTGTATAACAATTTATTATTAACACCGAAATCAGTAAAAACGAACACATCCAAGGATTCCATACGTTTATATCAAATATATTTATTCGCTAGAAAGTTTTGAGAATAGGGTTTTTTGAAATACTCATTTTGTTTTGATATTATTTAACGCTTAGTAAGTTTTGAAAGAGTTAGTTTTTTAAAGTTACATTCGTGAAAGACGGCGCAAGGAAATTATTTGAGACTTGTGCCCATTTATTTTCGTAATAAAATGTGTGTTCATTTAAAAATTATTTCCTTGTTTATGATCTTTTTTTAGATTTATTACTTTTTAGTTGATTTAAGAAACAATCACTAATTTTGGGTGGCCAAGTTTTGTTTTAATGTGATACTTTGTTTTTATTATTTTGTGTATTTATTTTTTCGTTGGAGTTATTTGGAAAGGCGATTTTAAAGAGCGAGATAACTCGTTTTAGAAGGCAACTAGTCTACTGCATATTTTAATTATAATGCCTTGTTGTCTTGTGTTTTCTTTTCTTTGAAGATTCGTCGGTTGTTTGGGGCTCCTCTGCCTCCGCCCAGGTATACTAAAAAATAACTTACGCACTCAGTGTTGGCATGTTTGCATAAGAACTCTGTCACTTGCTTAGTTTTGCCAGTGGTTTTTTAATTGTCATAATTATACATTTATTACATTTATATTCTGTTCTATTTTTTCATTTACGTTACTGTTTTTTTGTGGTTTATTGCATTATCATTAATACAATTACCAGATGATCCCATTAACTATTTGACAACATAGAATAAAGTATAATTGTATTCGATAATGATGCAAGCGAACCGTATTAAAGTGGTGTCTTACTTGTTTTTATTTTTATGTTCCATAAACAAAATTTCAATTCTTCATCAAATTGTGGTCTTTCCTACGAAGTTCTCGGCAAGTTGAAATTTCCGCTTGTTGACGCTTGTATTTTTTTTAACTAACGTGTAAGTTAAAAAAAAATTGAAAGTAATACATTGTGGAATTTTAAATTGCTTGTATGTGGAAAGTGTGTTGTGTCTCTTAAAAAGCTTTCACAAGGACACTTAGCACTTGATTGAAGTCTTCGTGATTTCATGATTACACTGTCATTCTTTATTTCGTATCGAGATTTTAAATTTCTTTATTACTTTCCAAATGAAGTTTTGGGAAATGAGTTTGCTAAGTGATGAAAAATAATACCCCAGTTGAATTAATAACATATATAGAGAGTATTGTTTTAATTATGTTTGTTTCTTTTTATTTTTGGTAGGTTTTAGAAACCAAAAGACGTTTTTTGGTATCTTGGGTAAACACTTGTGTGGTCAATGTAGAAATATTTTCTATGTTTTAATTTTTATTTTCATAATAGCTGTGTGTTGGATTGATGCTAGGCTTGATACATATTACATTTATTATTTTATTTCCTTTTGATTTTCTACTTCTCATATATATCTATGACTTTCTTTCTATTATTATTTGGTCTCCTGTTTTTCTGTTTTCTTTCTTTATTTGTCTATTGGTTTTATTGTCTCTCTCTCTCTTTGAGGTGAGTATAGTTAATGTTTAGTATTCTGACTTAGTTCGTCCATCAAAGTGATTAAAAAAGAACGATTAAGGAAACTTGTGTAGAGAGTAAACATTTTATTTTGACTTTCCTTTTTGTTTCAACATTGCAGCGAAATGTTTGTTTTTGGTATAAAATTTTGGTAATTTTGTTTGATGCAGGTATGATTGGAATGCCGCCAGGGGTTCTGTACGGCCCACCAATGTTTGGCACCGGTCCAGTCATCATGCAACCACGTTTCAGATGATCTCCGATGTATCTGCTGTACCATCCGCAAGTTTAAAACTTTTTTAGAATAGTTTAAAATATCTACATATACAAACAAAAAAATACTTTAAAAAAGCAGCAAAGAAAAGAAACAACAGTTAATAATTACACTAAAAATTCATACGTTAGTAGGAACATTGAAATTTTTTCCAGATAATTCCAAAAAAAATGCGAAATTATTTGGAAAACCTAAGAAAGTGCATGTCAATTCATTATTTATTTATTTTAATTTAAATTATTATTTCTTTCGTTTCTTTTTTTCTGGGCCAAATTGACCCACGCCAATTCTTTTATCGTTTTATTTTATTTTTTTCTGATTTAATTTATTCTCGACAGGTTATATAACCGTTTAAAAAATAATATTTTATAACCGGCCCGAGCGGTATGTAACATTTTTTTTATCCTACAAAATTTTTAGTTTACTTTTTTTCTCATTAATTTTTTTCCACACACAAAAAACACTTCTACCCTCCGCACTCAAAAAGGTTAGTGTTTTTTTATTTTTTTTTATTATTATTTCTTCCCTATAAGTACAATTAAAGGTTTTCTACTCAATTCCAGTGGTGCAATAATTTAAATAATACGAAACCTTTCATTGTATTTCAAAGAATTTTGACATTTAAAAAAATCTTGTAATAATTTTGTTGACATGGAATTAAGGTTTGTACTATACTTTAATTTATTATTATATTAAAAATATATATATATAAGCTTTGTAGAGGTTTAAGGTAAGATTTGATTTTTTTTTCAATGTACAAAAAAACACAAGTTTGCTCTTTATGAATGAAAAGTGTATAAATTCTCGTTTTTTTTTTAAATTATTATTTTTTTTTAATATACATGTTATTGTGAGGCGAGAGTTACACAAGTAATACTTGTTTTGTTAAACGATTTAGTTTCATTTTGCCAAGTCAAACAATAATTTCAGCTGCTTAATTAATTGTTAAATGGAATATATGCATACTGTATGTTTTGATCAGGCCACTGTGTGTACCTTTGATCAAAGGTAGGTCCGTAGGGTATATTTTTTTTTCTAATTAAATGGTTTCTGTTTCGCACCAAAATTATTCTAAATGTCTGTTTTGAAAAAGGTGTCAGAAAAAAGTATAGGGCAAATTGATTTACATTCATTGGGGGTAACAGAATTAGTTGAACATTGGCAGGCGACGAGCTAAGTCACAGCACTTGTAAGCTGTTGGATTGGTGACCCCCTGATTTATTTAATCTGCGATTTCTTTTATTTAAAAAATATAATCAAAATTTCGTTGAATTCTATTATTAATATATGATTTTCGTTGTTAATTAAACTGAAAAAGGAATCGCCGATTAAGATAAACCAGGTGATTACTGCTAGTCACAGCGATGTAATTGTCTCCTTTTTTCATATCTGTCTTTAATTAGTTTTATTTTCGTTGAAAGTCTCTTTTCGAAAGAACAATGCTGTTGGGCGCCAATCCCTTGCCAAAAGAGACGAGTCATGTGGCTTACAGGCGATTGAGCCTCTCCGAAAAGCGGCTCGATCACAGGATCTGCATCCTGTTGGACCTCGCCGGTTCCCTGTTTCATTTGCTCTTTAAATGTATTATATGTTCTCTATGTAGATTTATTAGACATAACTGTATTTGTTTTTTATTTCCCTTTTGTTTTTCTTCCAAGTTTATTTTACTTTTAATAAAGTTTATATATCTCCATGTTTTTTTCTCTATTTGATCTTATTTTTACATTAACATTCTCCAAATATGGTACTAACACATCTGCAAACTCATTTCCCAACAGCAAAATGATCATCACGAAACGAAGGGATCTCTGCAATTTAAATATTTTACTATCTGAATCCAATAAATGTTCACGTAATAAAAGGAGATTTCTAATGCTGTTACTGTTAATAAGACAATAACGGTAAAGTTATATCATCAAAAATAGATTAATGATATTAATATGAAAAAAAATAGCCATTATTTGTTTAAATTGATTTCCTTCGTAAACCATCAAATCATGCTTATATCAAACAAATTTAAAACTTCCTAAATTTAGAATACACTTTGCTAGTTTTTTTGTATAATATTCGGAACATAATATTAACAATTTTACGAATTAGAAAAATATGTTTTTTTACTTATTGAAAACTTAAATTAAAAGAATAATTTGCTTCATTATTAGTAAGAATCTGCGCTCAGCTGATTGGACTGATTGACATACTTGTACGATTGTATATTTGCATATTTCGAATTGAACTTACATTTTTTCTTACATTTTTCTTACATTTAGTAGTAGATACCAAGATAGATTGGAGTCATATACTAATGTTCTGGCTATTGGCCTACTTGACAACAGTGAAACTACAAACATGCTGAAGCGTTCCAAACTACTAGATTTAGTATATAGATTTAAGTAATTGTTAATGTTCAAAATCATCATAATGGTAACTACCTACCGGAAAAGCTTATCCATTTAATGTCAATCGCGATCTTAAATTTACTCAATGTTCACAGTCATGATCAGATTGTGAATAAAATTATTACGACAAAAAAAACAAGTATATAAATATTTATACAATAGCTCGCATAGCAGGGTTTCAATCAGTTCGGATTTTGTATAGATGTATTTGAATATTTCAAAACAAACTACAAATTTGAATTGATCAAAAAAAATGTTTACACAAAATAGTTTTTTTATTCATCCATTTATACAGTTAAATCGCTTTTTGTGCAGTTAATTTTTGTATGTATTTAGTTCCTCGCTTAGTCTGATATTAAACAGTATATGTATTGGCGGAACAGATTGTTCGCACTATACGAGGTATATGTTTTATTTTTTTCTGTTTAAAGTAAAATTAATGTATATTTTATTTCAATAATATTGTACAAAAATTTATGATTAATACATGATTTACAGTAACAATGTGATACAAATAAAACTGTCTTTATTATATAGCTATAAATATAGATATTATTCCAGTCGATGAACAATCAATGTTTCGATAATTCAATTATTGATTAAATTCAATTTAAAAATTGTATATAACAATTAACTATATACATGGCCAAATTTTGCATATGATAAGGATTTGCCATGTTCATTTTGGTTTATCTCAGTTTCCTGCTTCACTGATTGTGTAGGTAAACAATGTATGAACACATCGCCAGACCTGGTAAATCGGAAATGATCCAAATTTGTACATATACTACATTTGTATTGAAATAATTATATATTAAATAATGTAAAATTACCTTAACTAAATTACAATTAGTCTCAAGCTTACGAAATATTTTATGAGTCATAGATTCACAATTGATAGTAACGTAATAAACTCATTTTTTTTAATTACTAGAAAAGATTATTATTTTCAATGATAAGTAATTCAATTACAAAACAACAATTTTATGAAATTTACGTTTAGGTAAATTAACAGTGAATAAATGACATCATAATTTAATTGATGGAATATAACTTAATTCTTTATTCTCTAAATAGACATTTATCATAGACAAATATTTACTAAAATGCTTAGATTATGTACATTTTTTTAGTAGTAACTGTAATTGTACAAGTGTAATAACACTTTCCTCTTGATATTATTAAACATAACACATAACAGTAAGTTAATTTTGATCAATTTAAGTAGTAAATTACATTTTACAAAATAATTAATACATACTGTTTGATACAGGACTAATCGAGGATTTTTTTCTGTCAATTAAAATTTCGTTTGTTTTGAAATTTTTAAACCGGACTATAGTGAATCTGAACTAATGGGAGGTATTAATGTACTTGTTTTTAATATTTCTCAGATCTTTCTAAATATAAATCATATTTTTTTATCGATAAGCACCGAAATGTGATAGAAATAGGGCCGTAAATATAGAAATAATTTATAGGATTATACTTTTTTAACAAACAAACCAGACGATATTTATTAAAAAAAAATATTTGAAAATTCAAATATGAATATCGATACTTTGAAGATTGAAATAATGTATGCTGTTGTATCCGAGATCCTTCAAATAATCGATAAACATCCAGAATTTCTCTAAAAATAATTCGTATTGCGTTTTGGGTTTTTCCTGTTCCTTCAACATCAACGAGTACCCAATAAATACCAGAATAGAAATTAATAGCAGAATATTTTCAAAGTACACGACAGACTCCTGCATTTCAGTAATATCTGTATCATGTTCAACGCCGGTCGGTTTCTCTCCTTCGACATTCTCTACGACACGTTCTAAGCACTTTTTCCTTCTAAACAAGGACCAAAACTCGTAATTGCTGTGAGAACTTTCGCGATTCAGCCGCGCCTTCCTTTCGAATAGCTCGATCAATTTCCTCACAGGATAATAATAATATTGATCTTAAAAAAATCGTTATGTGAATATTTAAGGTTCTGAAATTCGTCATTCCTGTTTTACCAGTTTTTATCCAGAGCATTATAAGGATAAAAATGTAGAGTACAGTTGTAGAATACAGGTTCTTCAACGCATCGGCCAAATATGATGACAAGGGACTTCCCTGGAAGCAAGAGAGGCTTTGTTCTAGGTTTAGCATTGTACGAGAATTTCGCAGAATTTTGACGTGGATAAGAAATGAATCACTCAGATCTGATTGCCGCCCACTTCGTTGAATAAAATACAGTCCTTGCAATGTTTTCAAATCATTAATGTTTGTATAATTGCAATATTACTTTATCAAACGTTATCAACCTTTATCTAATCAATTTTATTTTAACTTCGATTCGACACTTGTTGGCCATTCATAGTAGCTGTACGAAGCCCAAGTAATATCGTTAGTTTTTGTACACAGTCCAATCGCCTATCAATATTTAATTGTATATATTTGTAAGTAAATCTTTATATTCTGTATGTAATATAATATGAAGGAAATAATTTTCATCTCCGTTTTATTGAATGGTTCCAAGGAGATAAGAAAACAGATTCATATCAAAAAAAATATACTATTGTGTAACATTTTAAATCGAACGATTGCTAATTGAATTAATATCTCTATGTGTTGTAGGTGATCCAGAATGGAGAAAAGCATTCGCAATTTAATTAACCAATTTGAAGTACTTTCAAATTCCTTGGCGCAAGAAAAAAGTACACCAATTCGAAAACCAATTAAACAATTGTCCACTCAACAAGTATTTACTACGTCAGTTGCGGCATCTCCAGAACCACCGAAAGCCGTTTACGTATCCAATGTTGGAAATAAGAATGTCAGCGGAAAGTTGAACAGTATTAACCAGGATATAGCAGATTTGCTTAATGAAATCAACGAAAGTCCGGACATTAGCCATGAGAAATTCATTGAAATTCTGCAGGTGCTCGTGGAAAACTTGATATCCCTTGGTTGTATAGATGTTGAAGGTAACTACAATTTGAAACAGAAGAAAGCCGCGTGCTTCTCAAGAATTCAGGAATGCAATACCGAATTAATGAAGACCAAATCGTACGAGGCGTTAACCCCGAAGAAAAACTTACAGAAAAGTAAATCTTTAAGTGAATTACCTGAAGAAGTAGAAAAAGAACATGTAGCCGTTCCGGAGGTTCAAGAAGAAGAAATTCACGTTTCCTTTAAATCTGTTAAGTTGATGAAAAATCTTTTCGATAGTAAGGAAAACATCAACGATCCACCGAATTTTAGTGTAAATAAAGCATTGAAAAGAAGCGCAAGTTTCTCTGTAAATAATCCATCGGTTTATGTAGAAGCTAAAACGTTAATTGGAAATAAAATTGCAAACCTCAAGCATGTCCAAGAAATAGAAGAACAAAAGGAAGAAGTGGAAGAAAACGATATTTCGGTAGTATCAGAAAGTCTCCAGAAACCTTCCAACTTGAAGACATCAGCGAAGATCATTGAACTAACAATGCAAGAAGTAAATGATGTTGATGATGAAGAAATTAAAGAATCAAATGAAGATGATAAACACATTATACAAGAACAACCTAAGAATATCATTGAAAAAACTATTTGTAATCTGAAAAAGCTTGATGAAGTCAAAACTATAGAATCCCATGAATCTATAAAACAAATTTCGCTAGAACAACCAAAGAATATTATCGAAGAAACTCTTAGTAAGCTGAAAAAAGTTGACGAAGAAAAAATCATAGAATCCCATGAAGAAATTCCACAGGAACAAACGAAGAAAATTATCGAGGAAACTCTTAGTAATCTGAAGAAGGTTCCTAAGCATACAGAAGAAACTCATGTTGCAGAAGAAGATTCAAATATAAAGGTGGATGAACAAAGATTATTAAAACCATCAAGTCTGAAAGCACCCAATGAAGAAAGAATAAAACACGAAGAATCTGTTGAGAATGTGCAGCCAAAGAGCGATGAAGCTGTAACAGCAAAAAATGACAAACTTACTGAAAATATACAGTCAAACGAAAATTCTTCAGCCTTAACTTCTTTTAGTCTCTTAAAGAACATACTAAACACGCAAGGACAATCTAAGAATAATGAGAATGAAGTTGAAATTGGAGAGCAAGTAGACGTGGAATTTGTGACATCAGAATTTGATGAGCTTTGCGATGAAAATGAAATAGATGAAGATACCGACAAGTTGTTCAATGATTTAATCAAAAGCGAAGACTTAGCACCTGTTTCAAGAGATTCTGAATGTTCTATGGACACCGTTATTAGCGTTGATACCAAAGAAGCCACAGAAGAAATTGATGTAGATCCAGTATTGCAAAATGCTGTGTATTCAAAGATTCCGGAAATAGCAATTTGTCCTGCTGCTCCCGAAGGATACGAAAATGAAAATAATGATTCATATGTTAGGCCACCTGGAATACAAATTTGTCCTCGAGCTCCTGAAGGATATATAAGCCCTTATGATGATCCTAATACAGTTCCTGAAGGAGATGAATATTCAGAACTCAGAAAATTAACAGAACAATCAATTCAAAACGAGGTAACTGAGAATGAAAATGATGACGATTCAAATCAATTACGGGTTACGCAAATCCCGAAGGAGTCTTTGTCCACATTAACTGATGAAGATAAACAAGAACAAGCTATACTATTTGAAATTGATCATTTGTTTAACGATTTGAATCAATACAAGGATATTGTAGATACATTTGATTCTAGCAAAGATCTTTCTAAAGTAGAAGAGATTGAAATGCAGTTGTACATGTTGTTGGAGCGATTAGAAAAGATACAATCTATAAATGATAAAACAGACAAATTGAAATTGTACGGCGTTGAATTAATAGACAAAATTATTACAGATTTCAATGCTAAAGTTAATTTAGACTAATAATATAATATCATAAGTGTAACATACTGTCATTTTAAATTATAATATTTATATTTATGAACTAGATTTAATATATACATATTCATTCGTATTTTTTATTGAATATTACCCATCATTAAATATAGTTTAACTAAATTAAAAAAAAAATCGTTTCACATATTTTTTTTCGAAATAATTTTCATACATTTTGCAGTTATTTGTTAATTTATGTAAAAATGTTTAAAATATTATATAGTTGAAGCACTAAATAAGAAAGAGTCTTTAGAATTGAATGGAAATAAAATGGAAACATGTTTTACAATAACTGCATTACACATACAGATGATGAAGGGCTTGAATTTATGAAATCAATGAACTAGAGAATTATATCTCGCTATAAAACTGTTTTGAAACTGAACTAATCAATATTTACAAAAATAATTCATACAAAAAGAATCTTTACTGTACAAAGGGAAATAAGCAGATCATTTTTGTGTACTTTCATTTTGTTCAATTAAAACTTAGTTTATTTTGAAATTTTTAAACCGGGCTATAGTGAATCTGGACCGGTCGTTGCCGTACTATTCGAGGTATTGCTGTATTTGATTTTAACTGGTTTTAGATGAGAAAATGGAGATTTTGTAGATTGGGTTGCATATATAATATAATTATGACTACGACGCTTTTTCTCCAGGGAGGACGCATATTGCGAAACAATAATATAATTATTGCTTTATTAAACATCTACTTTCAATATAATTAAATAAAAAAGATAAATAATTTAAATATTAAAAATAATTCTGCTTCTTAATAAAGTTAATGTTATATTTGTTTCATTTTGTTTGAAACATCTAAGTCAAACAAATGATTAAAAACATACTCATATGAAAAACATATACAATATTCTCTTTCTTATCAAAGTTAATGGTACATTTGTAACAATAATGTTTTTATTAAAAATTAAATCATAAATCATTAATGAATTTGAATCAATATTTAAATTTATATTTAAATGGCTATTTTAAGACAATAATATTTCCTAACTAATATACTTACAATTAATTATACTTACAATATAATTACAAATAATAAACAATAAATAAGTATAGATGCTGTAAACTACAAAATAAATAAATCCATCCTTTGCTTTATTACATTTCTTTCAGCAAATACGTAAAAAAACTTTTTTTAATTAAGTAAAAAAAAATAGGTTGAAAGACTAGAATCGTGGCCAATAAGATGTTTAATAATATAAAAATGACGGCCATTGACGGTACATATAAATATGAAAATTATTATGAACAAATATTTTTATTTACAAATATCATTTAAATTTAAACAAAATTTATAAGATATATATATGTTTTGGCAGAATTCTGTAATTTGTCCAATCCTCGACAATGGTTCCGAATCCCATCCTAAAAAACCTGTTCGCATCCTCACCAAAATTCAACATCTTAATAACCCACTCTACAACCCTCCATATGATCTCATTTGCTCAAATATTAAAGTATCCCTCAAGTACCCTATTCCTTTTGTCATTATAATCAAATCCTTTTTATGGCTGTTTTTTATGGGTAAATCATGATGCTTCTTTCTTCCTAATTTATATTTTGTTAATTCTGTTTTAGTTGTTTTTTTTTAATTTTGTATTATTATTTCTTGTTTTGAAACATAGTTTATTAATTTATTGTAATAATTATTATTTTATAAAAAAAAGATGAAAAGTCAATTGACATTTTGTGGAATTTCTTGTTTTGATATTTTTTTAATGATAATATGATTTGATGTAAAAAAAACTATTTAAAACTTTTACGAGAAATGAAGTAGCAAATACAATTTTTTTGTCACATTTATTATATATCTGTTTATCTTAATATTATACATTTAGAGTAATATCACATAATACATCTGGTTTCTCATGCAACGTCATGCAGAGCAAAAACATCTTTGAATTGGATTCGTAAAAATTACAATTTTGCGAGTTCAAAATATATAAAATCCTATTCACAGGATAAATGATCAATTTCAAATAATTAAAACATGTCAAACTGGTGTGATCTAATCTCCATTTTTGATTTGCAACAGTCTTCTCACTTCCTCCTCCAAAATCAGATGAACCTTACACATCTTCTCAAATTCCTGGTTGTAGATGGCTTCTGGTTTATGCACAACCTTATCAACTTTCTTCATAAGATCATCCAAATTTCCGTTCCAGTTGAAGTTGGTCTCCATGAAGAAGATTTCATCCAAAACAGCATACTTCTCATTCGTCAGGTCAGTAAAATCCGTAATCATCGTTGAAACCACTTCATCCAACATCTTAGAAACACGTTCCTTCCCTTGATCACCGGCAGAAATTTTATTTTCCGCCACCAAATACTTCCTTAATTCCGCGAGCGCCACATAGTATTCTTTAGCCATATTATATTTATCCGTCAAATCGCAATGTATCTTCGCATAGATGGATTGAGCGTCGAAATCCTCAAGAATTTGCCTCAAATCTGGTAGCTGAATAACACTATCTTCATGACTTGATTTCGGCTCTTCATTGATGAAAGGGATCTTATGGTCGTTGAATCCCTCACGAAATTTGATTAAGAAATGCATGGTTTTAAAGCGAAATCTGAAAATTGTCAATTAGTACAATTTCAAACACTATAATAAAATTCCTCTATTCTTACCGATTTAAAATGAAATTATCGTTTTTCAGACTTGTTTCACGGATATGATTATGAACTCGAATAACTGAATTTCGTTCGCTAGAGGCTTTAATATACTCACGTAGACCACTCGATTATTTTAATTTAGATCTAGATTTGATAGGAAAAAATGAAATAATCGAAACTGATAAGATTTTTCTCATGAAATATATAAAAAAAATTACGACGCTTTTGTTATTGTTTTGTCACTCTCATCTAATCCCACCAAAAAAAAAAATTCATAGTAATCCGCCATGATTTATAGAGTACAAATTGAATGGTGATAGTTTGATCTATTTCAAACTTTGAAATATCCGGATTGTACTATTCATCATACCTGATTGAAAACACAATTAATTCAAGTACTTTGGATATTTATAGAAAATGTACTTAAGTTTAAGTAAATAATAATGCTATCGATGTACGAAAATAGATTTTTCTGCAGACGATATTGATTGCATTCATTTTAATCCGTTATCGATATTTTTATACAATTATTGAATATTAAACATTTACGAAAAATGTTATTTGTCGAAATATATGTTTGTCGTAATTTGGCGCAATATTATTGTTCATTATGTGCGTGTATTTCGTCGGAAATTATCGGACGTGAATTAATTGATAACGTAAGTTTGCGGCTATATAAAAAATCTAGTTTCGTGTGCGATTATTTTAGATTGAGGATAATTCGATGTATTAAGTGGCGTATATATATATTTTTTTTGCAACTTGCGAGAACGTGTGTTCAATATTATTTACGCTTATGGAATTTTCCATGACACAGTTTGCTTCAGAAAATGCACAGTTTTATACGAGCGTACACACAAACCAATCTATTATCTAAATCGCCTTATGTATTTTTTTTATGTAACAACGAACAATAACATTTACTTATTTATCGTCCATACATTATTTACGGCGTCTAATTAGTGTACGGCATTTTCTTATAATGACATATTATGTAATATTTATTGTCAAACAGTATTGAAAAACAATAACATTAATTTTGGAATATGAAACTATTTTATGTTCTTTTAGATTTTAACTATTATATCTAAAGCATAAATTAAATAGTATTGAAAAATATTGCATTGGCTTTTTTTTAAATTTTAACAAAATATATTATCAATTTTAAAATATTTTTTGAAAATTGCATAACATTTGATACTTAAATTTGGAAAATCATTATTAAATATTGTATTTATTTTCTATTCTATAAATTAATGATTACTACTTGTTATTATTGTATGTTTCTTCTTCAATTTATTTGTTAAAAATTGTGTTTACAATTAATCATTAAGTGTGTATTTCTTCTCGTCAACTTGCTTTTGTTTTTCTTACTCCGATCAGATCCGGTAACCTTCGGGTCGCCTTTATAACCCAGATGACATAGACCAACCTATTCTTATAACCAATTTGTCGAAGTATAAATTGATGAAGAAAAAAACAACATTTTGTATGTTTTCAGCAGTAGATATTGAATGTAGTCAATTCTTGCTGATACATAAAATGTACTTTAATTAACATAGACGTACGTTAATGAGAACATTGTCACGTTTTTTAACGTACTTTTGATTATTGTAAAGAAATTTGATTAGACGTGACAAGAGCGTTCAATTAATTAGTAGACAAAAGTATTACATGATAATATCATTAGCTTTGATTGAAATATACACACATATATGTTTCAAACTGTCGGCAACGTCTACGTTCGTATTGAATGCACATTAGTTTGAACATTGTGTCACGTGTTTACAAAAAATCCTAAATGTTTGCATTAATATAGAAATTTATTAACGTACATTGACGTACTGTAACGAATTATGAACGTTACTTTTGTATATTTATATGTCTGTGAAATCGGGTTCTATCGAAAATGGTACGTTCAAATGAACTTATAAGTATTCTTTAGATATATTGAAATTCATTTGTCCGGTTTAAGTACATTTTCTTAGGTAGTTTATGAACATTGTTTTGGTGTGACTGAAATATGTATATGCATATGATATTGGGACAGACAGAAAAGTGTACATTTATCTGAACTTCTAGTGTACGTAAGATCGAATATATTGTCATATGTTAAAAGAAATCATATATCATGATATTTTTTATTGGAATTTATAGTTATATTAACGTACATCAACTTAGTTTATGGGATTTTCATATTCAGGTATCTGTAATTAATTTACAGTTATTCCTAATTATCAGAATCTGAAATTTTAGTTAGGAGTTCTGCATTATATTATTAGGTATAGTTACTATAATGTTACAGTAAAATTATATATTTAAAAAAATCAATCAATATTTGTAAAAAAAAATCTGTTAAATGTAAATTATTAAATATTGTATTCGTACTCTATAAATTAATGTTTACTATTTCTATATTTGCTGAAAATTGTGTTTAGAATTAATTAATTATTAGATACTCTAAACTACTTACTTTAAGACGATAAACTATCAAAATTTAATTACTAATCATAGAAAATTAATAATCTAGGAATTATATAATAGATATTTGAAAAAGTTTATGTTTAAATTATATTCTATACTAGAGATAAAATTATATAGTTTTTTGTTTTACTTGAAGTGTTTACTAATTATTGTTTATAATAAATTTTAAATTATCTTTCTATATTAATCTGATTATAATTACAGCCATAAACTATACTTAATACGTCATATAAACATAATACAGAAACAAGTGTCTGTAATAACAAGCCTTAGTATTAATACGTTTATAAAGATTTAGACTGAAGTGAATAAAAAATCTCAATAAATGTAATTACTATAATATTTTCATTTTTTTTTTGGGTATTTCCAATATACGGAAATAAGTTATCTGTTTCTACTTTTTATCTTCACTGAAATTAATTTGGTTTATACGTATTAATACGTCCGATAAGTAACATTAATATTATATCACAAGGATTATAGATTATTTATAAATCAATTTACAAGTCCCAAATGGATCGTTCCGATTTTTTTATATTATATCTAATTTTAGTACATCTGATCGAGTTCAATGTGAACGTAATCTGGTGCACACGTTATTCATATTTTCTAGAAACCAATTTTTATTATTCTCATATCTCGGTAATCACATAACAATAAAAAAAAGGAATACGCATTTGTGTCTGGCATCATTAATTCAGGTTCGCACAATGCGAATATAAACAGGAGAAATAAATGCAATTTGTGCGATTGTATTCACAACACATAAATTACGTGCATGCAAATGTACTAATTATTTACTCTTTGACATACTTAAATATATCGTTAATAACGTATTTACCTTCGCAAGAGTTAATCACTCAAAAGTAATTCTATTTGAATGTGTACACACTTTTCATTCAATGGTAATTTGCATGGATGCAAATCTCTAATTTTCATTTTCTTTTTAAATTAAATCACTTGCTTTAATTAAATGTAATAAAATTAAATGTGTTAATTGGAAATAATCACTTTACTTCTAATTACTATTCAAAACATTAAATATAATTTAATAAATTATTTTAACTTATCAGAGTTAAATATGATATATTAATTATAGTATTTTATTAGGTGATACTTTTTACCATTGCCGAATAAATATAGTACTACAATAACTCACATAGTGCGCCTTTAGGGTTTACAAATTTCGAAACATACTATTTTTTTATTGAGTACAATAAAAACCGTTTTTTACATTTTTTACAGTCAAGCAATCCACGAGCAATTTTATACAAAAAATGGTTTAATAATAATTTAACGTCCTTAATTTTATACATGAAAAATATTCATAATAGAACCTTAATGTGACCATGTAGTTCGTCGATTGTCCGGTTTCAATATAGGCGGAATCGATTACCAGCACTATGCAAAGTATTGCTGTACTGTATTCATAAGTATGTAATGTAGTTATAAAATAATCTTGTAAATAACACGATTTACTAGAACAATATAATATTAGAGAAATTTTTAAAAAATTCTACGATCGTATTGTTTTAATAATAGGAGTAATAATAGAAGTAAACAGTTTTGAGCGTTTTTTATTACATGTCGTTTATTGAGCCATAACGACATAACGATATAAAAAAAAGTTTTTTTGACTGTTTTGTATTTAGTGAATCAGTTGTGTTAGAGCGTTCCAAAATGGAGGTAAAAAAGAAAAAAAATTCGATACATTCTTCTGTACCATTAGGACCAAGGGGAAAAGCGGAGCAGGCGGCCAAAATAAATTGTGTTATTTATGGATCCAATATAGCATAGAATGGAATAGCAAGATTCCAACGCTTCTGTTCTGGTAATATGTACGTCGAAGATGAGACATTTCTGGTAGGCCAATCGTCGAAAATGTTGATAAAATCATGGAAATCGTAGAGTTGGACCGGCATGCGAGCACTATTTCACGATATTCCATTACCCAGGAACTGAAGATTAGCCAGAAAATCGTTTGGAACCATTTGCATAAATGGCTGGTCTCACGAAGAAGCTCGATGCATGGGAGGAAACGGTCAGAACTTTTTACTTCACCCAATATTATAAATTGTTGGTTTCAAGAAAATTTAAAACTAACTAATTATTAATTGGTAATTTCCAAGGATATTAATCGTAATATTTTTTCTATGATATAAATACAAATGTTCGGAAAGTTAATATGCATAAAAAAAAGTAACATTTTATGTCCAAAAATTCCATTTTAAATTAGGATTTTTTATTTGAGAAAATATTGTTTAAACTGGATCAAGTCTTTTTTGCAATGAATGGCCAGTAAAACTTTAATATGGTTTGTTTTTAATGTCCTTCAATGCATGGATCCTTAAATTGAAGGGACTCTTATTTAATACAATTTTTTATGTGAAATGGGACTCTTATTTTCGGACAGATGAAGGAGTATGTTTGATAAGCAAAAATTAAAAATAAATAATTTTTTTGTTTAAATAAT